ACGAAAAGAGTAGAACTTTTCTTCAGTTAAAACCGACGGTTTCCCCTACCATTTTTCATCCGTTCACCCGACGGTTTGAACCGATGGTAAAAACCGAGCGTGTAAGCCCACCTTAAGGGAATTGTTCAGCAGTTCATCCTCTCTGTAACGGGCTATTAAAATTGTATCTTAACGCGACGCCATGATAGGGAGGGGAATTGCAAAAAAAAATTCAGCATTTCATCATCATTCTAATGAACTCATTAGTTGTATTTTTTTCACGGACATATTTAAAGGTGCTTTTAGAAATTTCACTGTTTATGGGAAACATAATTATCTACCTTAACTAACAGCGACATCAACGCTAAGCCAAACTTTTTAAAAATTTCTTTGTTACCGACAACAGATGTAAAACATCAGATACAAAAACACTAACATTGGGAAAGAACTATTTAAATATTTTTCCCATAGTTTGTGAAATTATTGTGAGTGGAGACAACAGATTATTTAGTCACCTTAACTATATTTCTAAAGCCCACTAACTCCCACATTATCTGACAATTCATATAATTCAAACGTTCAGAAATAGTTTTATTTGGATAGTCATTCAATACCGATTCAACGAAAAGTGCTTATGTCTGAAATCAGTTCACTGTTTTATACTTCTTTCTTTTAATTTATAATTTATACTTCTATGGTTTTAATAAACAGCGAATGCACGTAAACATTTTGAATCTTGCCATCCTGCTTTTTACAGTAATAGTGGTCTTGGGTTGACAGCTGCAATATTTCATTTAATATATATTTCTTTTATTTTTGACCAATTACTGTTTCATCTATAACTTGGTATGAAACCCATTAGTTTGCCAATGAGAAGGTTTTAACAAGCTAACTTTAAAATGCTAATGGATACCTATTTTTTGAAATTGAACCTTTTGTACTTCATGTGCAATATAGAACATTTATTGGTCCTAAGAAATTGGTATTAGTTTCATCTTAATGTTCAGTAGAAATAATATTTCTTTCTTGAATCGAAAATTCAGAACATTTAATAATATAACTATATTGTATTTTCAGTATGATATTGTTCATAATTCAGACTAAAGATTCAGACCTTGTGATTGGTAAACACCACAAAATAATTCTGGCCATTAGAAACAAGAATGATTTGAAGATACCTATATCTAATAGATAAGAGATAATTATAACAAATTCGGTATTTAATATTTCACCAATTTCACTGTTATAATTTATTTAGTATTAGTTCAATATTTATTCATTATCTAATTGTTATGTCAAGAATAACAACAGATAATATTTTTTATTAATACACAAATCTTTAAAGGGTGAAACAATTGTATGTGGGAAGCTTAAATGAAATAAAATTTCTTTAGAAGATCTATTTTATAATCACCTAACTGATCACTGCTGGGCCCTGTCATGCTATATGAGTGTGATTATCTCACCTTGATCATTTCTTTACTTGTTTTCATCAAATCTTATAAGGTAATTTATTTTTCAAATTAAATCTCTAAAAACTAACTTTATTAACTATTGAATTGTAAAAGTAATAGTTTTATGTGCCTATTTTATATAGTAGGTCAAGGTTAATTACTTTAATTGGCCTTGATGTATTTTTTAAGGAGTTTTAGTATATATTTTTTTCAGCAGTATTGCTGGTACTTTATCTTAAAATTATTTGTTAATATAGTTATGATATATTAATATTAGAAAAAAAAAGTGTACAATTAAAAATGGTTACAATGTGTTAATGGGCAAATGAGTACTGAGTACCAAGTATTTTACTCAAATTAAATCTCTATTTGGAATTCAATTACTACTTCATTTAATAGTTGGCATCAACTGAATTATTAATTAAATTCTTTGGTAATCAAAAAAGGACTCAGTACTCAGAGAAGCATTTGCCCATCTCTGGTTTGAAGATAAGTAAAATAATATGAAATAAAACTTGAGTAGTCTTTAAATAAAAGTAAATTAATCTTAAATATTTGTGTAGGCATTATTCTTTTTGGATAAACTGTATAGTGATGTAATGAAGATTAGGGTTTTAGATAAGGATTTTTCATAGAATCTTTAAAGCCATAAAAAAAAAAAAAAAAAGATGTATTTTTCAATTGTTTTTGTTTTATGAAAAATAAAAACAGTAGGTTTTTTCAATTCTGATCAGAGAAGAACAAGATAGAAATTAAGAGAGGTATGTTAGTCAAAAGAAAAAAATATACATATTTTCTGTGTAATTCTTTAATCTGGTTGATGTTATTAGAGCTTAAATTGGTAGAATTCCAGAATATTTTCATCCTTTATGATATTTTTATTCCCATATTACAATTTCAATTTAATAAATTTAACACTTTCAAATGGTTTTGTTTTATTCTATTCCATCTGAGATTTCATGGAACAATGAAATAAGGTAAATGGTAGAATGTTGAAATGTTTGATTTTGATTGTTTATGAAAATTATAATACTAGAATAAATTATTAATCTCTTTTTTACCCCTTTAGTTGCCTTAACCAACATTCTATATCTTTGCCTATCTTGAACTTCTTTTCAGTTTTCTACTTACAGCTTTACTATCTTGGTTGACCAGTTTCTTTGAGGTGTTCTTAATTGGTCCTTCTGCTTATTTCAAAACTCATCCTCGGATTTTCCTACTCAGGAATTTCCTTTCAAATCTCTTGATTCTACATTCTAGGGTGTCCGTTGTAGTTGTAGCTATGTTTCAGAAATGGCTTTCAATCATCACATTTTACACTCTAAATTTAAGATTTGTCAGGATTTTAATACCCTTAAATGAGAGAAGGAAGCTCTTTTTCCATGTTTTATGTATTAGGGTCCCTACACGCAGAGTGCGATATATGATAAGATATTTTTGTCGGTGCGAATATGGCAATATAGTTGTATTACTATCTATTGAATTATAGTAGTCTCACAAAATACTATAATATATAATCTGTAATGATACAGACAACAAAATTATTTTAAATGGATTGATCTGATGCTTTTGTGTTACATTCTTTTATCCTATAAGGGAGTGGTAGAGCACTAAGCTTCCAATGCACAAGGCTCCAGGTTCAAATCCCGTTTCACTGCAGAAAAATTATTTATTCTCTTTCATTAGCATTGGAACGATCCTATGGTCACGAGAACCTCCTGGGGCATACCCAGCCTCTATAATTTGGGTACTTGTAATTAAATTTTTTTTTCCCTTTGTGTCAAAAACACACCATGGCCATTATCTCCATATAAAGGCCTATTGTACGTCTCTATTGATATCACTCCTATTCAGAGAATTATTACTGCAGTCTTAACAGACTGAAATATGCTTGTTAGGTTGACAAGCTCGTTTTCATTGGAATCAATCACCCTTTCATTGCCGAATAAACAGAATCTTAATTCAGCAAACCTGTCTCACCAGCAAGTGATATGATAACCTGTTTCATCCTCCTGACTACAGAACCTACAAAGAGACGACTCCATTAGCCGTAGCTTACACATATGATATTACAGTTTACATTATCCTGTAATTTTCTTAAGAGAGCTCCTGCTCAAGTTAATTAGTAGGTTGCTTCTCTTAGGACAGACTCCTTCCAGGAACAATCTTTAACGAGTAGTATTTTTTGGCTTCAACACCACATATCTCCCCAATAATTCTATTGTTTATTAGACATAAACTAATTCCACATCTAGGTTCGGGAATTATGGGAGTAGTTCATGAACCTTTTTTTCTAGCTTTTCTAATTCCACCATCTCATTTCTGTGGATGCCAGAATGACCTGGTACTCATTCAATGTTTACCTTACTGAATCTAGATAGGCCATTAAGAATCCCCACATAGTCCTTAACAGATTTAGATCTAATTGTTTCATTGCCCAGCACTGGTATTGCCACTTGACTGTCGATATGGATGGAAATTTTCCTCTCCAGCAACCCATCGAACAACAACTTTGAGGCACAGTGAGATATCACCAGCATTTCAGATTGGAATACTGTAGCATATCTGATTAGATAATTAATTAAAGCTGGAGGTAGAGTAAGGTGTCGGTAAAATCACCTCCTTGCACAACCATTCATCAAGAAACAGTACTTTCCCTAAGTAGTGCTGAACCCAAGGCCCTTCATGGGTTGTAGTGGTACAGGGTGTTTTTTTTTATCCTATAATAAAACAAGACATGGGGATGGAGAGGGGATAGGAAATGTTATTCTATTAGTAACCACCTTATTCTAACCAGAATGATAAAGTCAAGGTCAGTTCATTGGATCTGCCACTAAATAAATATCAGCCTATCCAGCTGGATTTGAACCATAAGCACCACTTAACTCGAGGTTGCTAAGTTTGACTCAAGGTTTACTATTTTCAACCATCATGGCCTCAAGAGCTCAAATTTATTCTTCATCTTAATTTGAAATTTAGCTTTTATTTCAAGATTTATCAAATTACAGATTTTGTATCTCCTTCTTTCAACTTGGTCCCTTATTTTGTAAATTTTCTTAAACTTCTGACAGAGTTTGATTCATTCTAATCAGAATCCGGTGTGGATCCGGTCTGCTCCTGAGTCGAAATAACCAAGTCTCCCAAAATGGTGTGTGTGTGTGTGTGTGTGTGTGTGTGTGTGTGTTTGTGTGTGTGTGTGTGTGCGTGTGCGTGCGTGCGTGCGTGTGTGTTAAAAGTCTAGCTCATAAACGAAAAGTAGTACGAAACTGATATTAAGTATTTAAGGTTTGTATATGGGCCTGATGGGACAGCAACTTTTTCATTAAAATCGGTTAACCGGAAGTGCCACTTTATATGAACACTGAAACACATTTTTAGAGGTCATGATGGTCGGGAAGCAGTTATTCTAGAAGTACGACAAAAACTATTCTAACAAGAGTAAGAAGGTTGAGATTCATTCTGTGGGTTCACCATGAAATAAATTTTAGCTTAAATATTTTTATATGACTTTTAAAACCATATATAATTGTTAATGGATGCTTTTACAATTAATTGTTGAATTTTCAGGTCCCTTAAAATGTCTAACCGTCCAAAAGTATTCATTTGTAGATCAGATTATCCAGAAGCTGGTATTAAATTGCTCAGAGACAGGTGATTTATATTTGAATTTTATCATGTTTTGTTGTGAAATATTTTCAATGTTTGTTTTCTAATATTACTTTATTAGGTGTGAGATTGAAGTTTACAATTCTTTGGAGAAAGATGTTCCTACTGATGAATTATTGAACAAGTTGGTTGGAAAAGATGCATTATTTATATCTTCAAAAAATAAAATAAATAAAGAGGTCATTGAAGCTGCTGGTAAATTGCTGTTCCATTTTAGTTTTAATTAATAGAGTTAGTAGCTAGAAAAAAAACAGAGACTTAAATATTCTTTTTCTAAGCCTATGATTTAAAAATTCATTTTTAATTTTTTCTATAATCTTACCAAATTTGAATTCATAGTTTGATAAATTAATTGTGAAAATATTTAGTTCAGTTTGGGTGATGTTAAGGAGATAATGGTTGAGAGTGCAGTCAGAATTTTTTTTTTTTTTTTCATAACTAGTTTTATACATGGATTTGTTTTTTATATATGCTGTAAGATGTTCATTGTGCTGTATCTTAAATAAATTTTAAGATCTTGCTGAGCCTTCCTTAGTTTTCTTAATCTTTATTTCTTGACTTTTAATTGGGGTGGTGGGGCTCACCTCTATCTTGATAATTTTACTCTAAGGCTAACTTAAAATCTACCATACTTCTACATGCTATATATATTATAAAATGCATAAGGCTAGTATAGTATAAGTATAATATACTGTTTAAGGTAAACTGATGTTTTAGGCTTGACCAAAAATTATTCAATGAATTAAGTTATTTTCATATCACCTTTGATAGAATTACTCAATTATTTTTTAAATATTGATAAGAAGATTAAATGAAGAGGGCACAGTAAATATGAAGAATTGTTTAGTTTGAACAGATATATTAGTTTGAATTCTCAATTTATTGCATTAGTACTTGGATTTTCCCCTATTGATGGTTGGTAATCGACTATTAAAATATGTCATTGGTGATAAATGTTCAAAACTCAATGATCGTGATCATTTTATTTTACAAGCCAACATTTCATCTCATCCTCCTAAATTTGTGGATTTGTCCTGAAAATAGCGCTAATGTTTTTTCTTAAATCATTAGATTGCACTATAAAAATTATCAGAATGATTGGGTTCTGACTAATTGTCACCACTAAGTTAGTTTTCCTCTTATATCTCACATTTTAAATAATTAATTGAATTCTGTTACAATTTTTTTGTCCATTTAACAATAGCTAAAAATGGAGTGAAAGTAATTGCTACAATGTCAGTTGGGCTTGACCATATTGACTTGGGAGAAATTAAAAGAACTTCTATAAAAATAGGATATACACCTGATGTTTTGACAGAAGCAACTGCTGAACTCACTGTTGCTTTGTTATTGGCTACATCAAGACGCGTTGTCGAAGGACATAAAACAATTGTTAGGTAACATAATTTATTTGTTTTGTCTTTTATAATTTCTTTGTCTGCTTAAACTTTGATTAAAAAAATATATCAACAGCCACAATGCAAAAGCCTGCAAGAACAAAAACTAAAAATTTTCTGGAGAAAAAAAAACTGTATAATTTTTGTTCTATGAGCATTATATTTTCGGCTTAATTTTGTTTACAGGCCTAAGACAAAGATGTAATGCTCTATGTAACTTTTTTTGATCCTATTTCCTTTCTTAGTTATTCAAAAAATATGAAAAATGCACGCATCCACAACAAATATAAATTTTCAATATGAAACTTGAAAATTAATTACTAAAATTAGATGGTCTAATTTTTTGTAAAAGTTTGATGTCATTCCATCAATTATCTTCTAACCTTTATACTACTATATCTTGTGTGTTATACAGCTTCTCATTGTTTGTAAATTTATATTGTACAGTTGCTCCAGTGCCCCCTAAAACTGGTTTATTTACTATTTTAATCAATATTATGTGTAATAAAACAGTAGGCTTTTTCATTTACATGACATATATAAATGAACTTTTTCATTAGAACAATTAGTGATTCGTGGATTCTAATGAGTTTTTCCTTCAAAAAATAATTAAGCTAACTTATATGCTCTATTCTATTTCTTGTTGACTCATTATTTCCATAAATATGACCATTGTTTAATTTCAGTGGGCTATAATACATCATTATTGGAGTCAAAAGATTTGTTATAAAAAATGTTTTTTTGTTCTTGTTATTATAAACAAATAAGATTTTGACCTGGTAATTTGACATCTACAAAACATTTTTGCACGTGACACTTTTTTAACATTTAAATGTTTTGCCTGCTTTTATAATTAGGTATACGGCTGATTCTTTGTAATAAAAATTTTTGCTTGTTCTTTAGTGGTGAATGGAAAATGTGGACTCCTACATTCATGTGCGGTCGAGGTCTTTATAAATCAATAGTCGGATTTGTGGGATTGGGTCGAATCGGACAATCAATAGCTAAAAAACTTATACCATTCGGACCATCTAAAATTCTTTACTCAGGTCCTAGAAGAAAACTTGAAGGTTTAATTATTATTCTTATACTTTAAAACACCTTTATTTGGCATAGTAGAAATCAAATCTGTGCTTGAATTAATGACTAACACAAGTTTTTACCTAAAGAGATTTAATTTAAAATTTGATTGTTTTTTCCAGGTGATCAATTAGGGGCAGAATTCGTAGACTTTGATAGTTTACTACGGCAAAGTGATTTTGTCATTGTTATGTGCCCTTTAACATCTGAAACTGAAGGTATTTTTACAGCTAAGAAATTTGCGTTGATGAAGCGTTCAGCAATTTTTATAAACTCAGCTAGAGGAGGTGATTAATTTAAATAAATGAAAAGCTATTAGTATCATAGAATATGACACTCGTGATCATCATCATTGTTGCTGGCACGACAACTCATCACTGGGCTTGGACGCCTATGCCAGTTGGCACGGTCCTGTGAAGCAGCTGTCCAGTTCTGGATTTATAGATCTTTTGAATCCATACTGCCCAGCCACCTTACCCTTGGTATTCCTACTCTTTTTGTCCTTTGCAGTTTCTCTGACATCAATAGTTTGGGGATTCTGGAATCATCCATTCAAGAGTCTAGTTTAACAAAATACAAAGAGGTCGTTTGAATGTTAATTTCAATTGCTACCGCAATCATACCTGAACAACAATAGTAAACACTTTTACACTAGTACATTTTATATGGTTTACATTTATACTAAGAAAAAGTAAATAAATAAATGAAATAAAATCAAATGAAACTAGTGGATTAATTGTTAGCAGTTGTAATTACAGAATCCAATAAGTATTACCTAGGCACGGAAGTTTGAAAATGAAGTAGGTGGTGGAATAAGAGTTGTTTGAAGAAATTTATGGATGAGGATTGCTGTATGGTAATAGATAAGAATTCCAGAAGGAGGTAGCACAAATGACGAAGGATTAGTTGAAGGATGTAGTTTTATGAGAAGGGATAAACAAAGAAGGAGTGGAACCATTTTAGAATACAGATATCGGCAGGCTTTGGAGTTTGGAAAGGAGGATCTTATGGTTGGTGGAACCAAAGGCTTTTGAAAAATCAAAAAGGATTAGGATAGAAATTTTTTGTTTATGTATGGAGGATTGTAGGTCTTGGGTAATCTTTAGCAAGGCAGACTGGATAAAATAATGGGAACAGAAACCGGATTGTAATGAATTGAGAAGACGGTTTTGCTCAAGAAAGTTATTAAACTGAGAGTGAACCATTCTTTCCAGTAGCTTGCATAGATTAAATAAGATAAGGATGGGTCTAAAGTCAGAAGCTAAAGAAAGAGCAGGTACTTTGTTCAATGGGCAAACAATGGCTCTTTTCCAGGCTTCGGGGAAGATGAAATTTTGAAGAGAGAAATTCTATATGTGCAGAAGCACGGGAAATAAGGTTGGAAGGCAGTGTTTAATGGGTATTTGGTCAGGTCCATAATCGTTGGTTTTGGATTTAAAGATGGCAGATAATAGGTTTGTGGGAGAAATATCAAGGAAAACTTATCAGGATCAAAGGGGATTTCGGTGGTAGAAAAAAGTGAGAGGTCAGATGGAAATTTTGGAAGGAAGATGGTTAGCGAAAAACGAATTTAGCTCATTCGGATCTACTGGATATTAGGTACAAGATTATATCACTTTTGTTTCTTTCCCAACATTTTTGTCTTTCTTTTTTTTTTTTTTTTTTTCTCCTTTCTTCTCTAGTATTCTCAAATATTTTGCCTTGCATACCAATAGACCATTTTTCTGTATGCCCTGTTTTTGTTTGTCTTAGCCTCAAGGCACATTTCATCTTATCATAGAGTCATGAGAATTTGTAAGAATATTCAATTGCTTTTTGGACTTCAGTGTCTTTAACAGGTAATAAGGCCTTCCAGTAATCCTTCACATTTTATTCAGCATACCTCATGAATTGCTCAAGCCTTTCGTCAATTTTATGTTGGTAGATAACACGATTTTCTTCATTTTTAAGCTTACCAGAATCCGAGTATGATAGGTATCCATATTTGGCCCTCCACATGATTTGTCACTGAGGAAATTTGATTTATGGCTTGTCAAAATCAAACATATCATAAATTCATGATCCTTTCATTGGAATCAGGCCATTATCATGTCCTTTATAGATTATTTTGACTTTTTTTTTTATGTTTGTAAAGCTAATGACAAAATGCTCTTGGTCTATTAATTTATATGTTACATTATAAGTTGTAATTTAATTTTAAAGCTATTCATGTACTTTGAAATTTAAAAACAAAATATGTTTATAGCAATAGTTGATCAAGAATCTCTTGTACATGCCCTCAAGAATAAAATTATTGCTGCTGCTGGCTTAGATGTAATGACTCCTGAACCTTTACCTAAAGACCATCCTCTTGTAAGCCTTGATAATTGTGGTGGGTAATATTTTAATTGTACATAGTATTTTTGAATCTCATTATATCATTATTATATGATTCATATGGCACTTTTTTTTAAACATTATTAAAATTAAGGTAATATGTCTTTGTTTAATTCTCTAAAATATTCTTGTTGCAGTATAATTTATTATCAATGTTTTTACAGTTCTTACCCCACATATTGGAAGTGATACTGTGGAAACTTGTGATCAAATGTCCATATTAACTGCTAAAAATATCCTTGCAGCACTGGATGGTGAAAAAATGCCTGCTGAATATATTTTGTAAATCAATGTTATGGTTATTTATATATTCATTTAAAATTAAAATAAAAGTGGTTATGGTTTCCAAAATTATTCGCAAGTCTTACATTTTGTTCATAAATTTTAATTTTCATAAAATACTTTAATTTGTATTTACTTGACCTTTGAATAATTAGATATTTCAAGACTCCAAGTATGAAATGAAATGAAATAATAATTTTATTTTATGACTACAGTCCCTTAAGAATAATAACAGAGTTACAAATTTATGGGTCTTAGTCTAGCTAAGAATAATTAAAAATACACACTAATTAATTGCTGATTGTTATTGCAATTTTGCAGTAAATTAAAATTAAACAGTATACATATGCAAGTAATTTTACATGTTTGCGGGAGTTTGAACATGGAGTAGGTGATGGAACAGGAGTTGTTTGAAGGAATTTGTGGACGAGGATTGATGTATGGAGGTAGGAAGAAAGTTCCAAAAGAAGGTAGCACAAATGACGAAGAATTTGCCGAAGGAAGTAGTTTTATGGGAGGGGATTTATAAATCTATAGGTTGAGACCTGGTATTGAGAGAGTGGATAGAGCAATATAGAGTAAGGAGTTTTATGATGTAGGGAGGTTGTTTGGTTCTGAGGACTTGGAAAAGGAAAACACCAAGGAGAATAAAGCCACCTCAACTTGGTGTTCCAGAATGAAACATGTGAATGCCTGGGGAATCCGAAAATGTATTTTATGAAATAGTTCATGAGTTTCTTTAGTCTCATTTCTAGCCTGGCAGATAGCTCTCCATACAACAAACAGCCGTAATTGAAGTGGATGAATATAAGGGAGGTGACAAAGAGCTGTCTGGTTTTTAGAGGAATACAATCACAGAATCTTAGGAGTTGGTTAAGGACAGTTATGGATTTTCAGGTAATCTGGAGGATATGGTTATTCCAGGAGAGGTTCTGGTCAAGGTTACTTCTAGGTTTTTGACTATCGAAAAAATGAATGGGACGGTTATTGAGGTAAAGAATCTCCGGAAGAAGCCGTTTTCGAAATACCAGTAATTTCTTAACATTTGTGGGTTTGATATTCATGAATTTTGTACATCAGTGAATACTAAAATGCTGAAGTGTTCCACATTTGCAAATCGTGATTAAAAAATAATATACCATTACATATTGAACATGCATATCGCTATTCTTAGTGCAAAAGAGCATGTGCAGTTTTACGGGAGAGCTTAAAAACTAATTATTTTTTTATGATTTATTAGTGTAATTTCATATTTTATTTTCCTAAGCTGCATACTATGAAATGTCACCTTTAGCACAAATAGAATAAAAATGGAAAATTGCACTTACGATCTTTTGCATTAACAGTAGCCATATATACTTAATAGGCTTCTTTTCATTAGTAAATGGATGGAACCAACAATCCATTGAAAAATTCAACTTTTTGTATGTTCAGAGTTAACGAGACCAGTATTTTCTTCCATTCAGAACAAAACTAATTTAAGCTACAATATAAAAATATGAAGGAATAGAGCAGCTCCGTGGTAGGGCACTAATCTTCAAATGCTCAAGGTCCTGGATTCGAATGTCAGAAATATTATTTATTCTGTTTTATAAGCCGTGTGGCAACCCTGGGATTAGGAGACCCTCCTGAGGCAAACCCAGCCTCTATAAAGTGGGTACCCTTAATTAAATAATTATTTAATGCAGAAATCCTGGCAGTTGAGCATGATCTCAGTCAGATTGGATCACTTCTTTGCACAACCATTGATTAAGAAACACTACTTTTCCCAAATAGTATTGAACCCAAAACCACCCCTCCTGTATTGTAGAAGTACAGTTGTTTTTTTTTTTTGTTTTTTTTTATGATTAAGGAGGAAATCGAGACCACGATTAGCTGGCTAAACTTCAATAGAAATAAACACAATACAAATAAGATATTGTTGTGGTTTTTACAAACTCAAGAATATAAATTAATTTAAATTTACTGAAAATTACACAAAATCTAATTAACATTTGTAACTGACCAAACAATACTGTATAATTAACTTTTTGAATAAAACCTAAAATTTTATAACCAAATAAATATATTGTATTAACCCAAGGATGTCCAAACATTTTGGCCACTAGCCACATAGAGATCTCCACTAAGTCCCAGGGCCATGGCTTGTGATGAAAAAACAAAATCATCTTATCTAAATGACACTTGAGTTGAGCAATGAGCTTGCTGAAGGCGGAAAACATGTAATAAATGTTGCAGTAACTTGCTAACTTAATAATTTGCTAAATTTCATATTTTTCTAATAGTTTTAAAATTTTACTATGTAATCAAAGAAACTTTAGCAGGCTGGATTGGAGGTGCTTGTGGACTGATCTCCCTGCAGGCCTTAGTTTGTAGACCCCTGTATTAATCCCCATTCAATGATAATATTATAATATTAACGAAAACATGTAGGAAAACCGCATATGCATATGTACATAATATTGTCGGAGTCCATATTATATTAAGCTCATGTTATGTATGGAAGACTGTTCTAATCTTGGAGTGAGCTCAGCCCTGCTCATATCACTGCTGATATCCTTACTCATATCACATTCCTTCATTACAACTATTCTCTGTTACGATCTCTTATTTCCCCTTTAGTTAATTATCAAATTGTTTCATACTTTATAATTAGCTATTTTTTTTATTTTTGAGATCAATGTGAGATGATTAATTGTTTCAAATACAACAAATTAAAGGTACTTTAGAGGAAGCTAATATTAAAAATTATCCATTTAAGTCTTGTTAGATAACATCTATGAGAATAAAAGCTACATAATATTAAAAACTACTTAATTTTACTCTGATATAATGAATTTAATCAAAATCGTTGTAGCCGTTTTCGAGAAAATAGAAAAAATGTGCTTCATCGATGATATAAAGTGCCACATCCGGTAAGCTGATTTTGACGCAAAAATTGCTGTAACATCTCAGATACATAAAATCCAGTCACATACATACAGACCATTTGGCTGGTAGTTATTTGGAATCAAAACATATATTTCCGTTGAAAACTCAGATTCGAAAATTTTCACGATCGCAATACTGTCTCTTACTATAGTGGAGACGGTTCTCGGCTTGAGTCCTCGGTCACGTCCCTCATCGACTACGGATGTGCAGGCACCCTCTTGGACTATCGGCAGTTAATGTTTAGCCGTAGCGATCGTAATGATCGTGGAGCCTGAGACAAATCGTGCTCTGAGATCAGGCAAGAAAAGCTTACCTGATTAAATTGGTGGTAAGGGGCATCGCCGGAGCTTTGGATAGACGGCAAGAGTGCTTGCACTGCTTGGCCATGGTGGTCGTAGTGGCCTCTGTACAACACCAGTGTTCAACTGGCACTGACTTAGTTCAGGCCAGTCATCTGGTTTAGTGTATAGAAAGCGGTTGAAAGCTATGATAGTAGGGTGGTGGCCCTCTCCATGAGCACCAGTCGAGTGCTTCCATCTCTTTACCTGTCCGGGCTATGAGGCTAGGTTAGGGTCGGTTAACACCCTCGGGTTAGGTACGATCTGAGTCGATGCCCGCACTCCACAGCATAGGTGTAAACTCTGTCTCTCACTATATATTTTATATATAGGTAAGTGAAAGTAAAACAAAAGGAAGAAGATAAGACACCGAACCAAATTCGATCCTTGATGTCTGAAACATAGCGCGAATGGTTATTTTCGAATATGAGCACAATTTGTTTTTAACATCTCGCACGAATAAAAAGCGTACCTACCTTCGCTAGTGTGGGGGTGATATAATTTATATGCATTTTGACTGAACACCCCAAAACACGAGCGGATCTACGGGGGAGGGAGAGGGGGCTTTGGGGCTGGCGGCCTCCTCCCCAAAAATGGTATAATATAACCATGTTTTATAGAAAAAAATATTAAAAAATCATATCTTAAAGTATCATTGTTCGTGTAATTACATTCAAAAGGAGTTTAGGAATCACTTAAACACCATTTCATATAGGTAGTTTCTTTCTTTGTTTTCGAAGTAATTATCGTTATTTTTATTTTTAAAAAAAGCTTTCGGGCTGAAGCTCCTCCTCAAAAAATTAAATCCTGGATCCGCTAGTGCCCCAAAAAACTTATTTTCAATATATCTACGACAATCAATTATTTACCCATTATCATGAATCTATATACATTTTATTTTGTCTTTTTGTTTGTACATTAGAAAAGTTTTATTTTGATATTGCTTTATTTATTTATTTTATTATTTTGAATTCCAGATACAAAAACGTAAAGGTTATATAGTTTTTTATGGATTACTATGGGGTACCCTACGCAGCTCAAATTTTTAAACTAAATATTAGAGCACAAACAATTCACTATAACTTTTGTTGAAAACATATTTCTAACCTTGACAACTTACATAATAAAATAAAATATGAAAGTCACTAAATACTTTTTACTTTCACTTACCTATATATGTAATATATAGTAAGTGTAAGTATTGCGATCGTGAATTGTATATTTTATAAATATTAAACCTGTCAGACACAAAATAACATACATAAAATCATTTAAAAGCGTCTAAGACACCAAACTGTACTTGAGAGGCATCAAACTTTTGTTTTAAATTTTAAAATTAAACCTTTTCGAAAATATGTAATCTCTAGTATCATCACCACAAGGTAAGTACTCTTTAAGTCGCTGTCCATGATTGCACATACAGAATGAATAATGTAATAGCTTTTATCGACCTTATAATACTCATAACAATAAATACTCAAATATTTCAAGAACCTATTTTGCGGGAACATTTAATAACAAAAGTTACACTCTCAAAAATTTCGACGAGGCACATATTCATTGAGTTATGACTTAATACACTTCTTTTGTGGGGTTTCAATTCGGGGGCACGTTCAAACCCGGGAACAAAGACAAAACATAGAACGTGGCTCGTCAAGAATAATTGTTTATAAACTACCATTTTTATAATTTTTCAAAAATACATTAGTGACAATGTGCACCATTTTTAAGATAAGTCACAAATGTACTGAACAGCAAAAAAAAAAAATCAATATTTTATTAAAAAACATTAAGATGTAGAATTAAAGCTAATTACAGTGGTATATGAGCTATATACCTTTACTTCTTACAAGCATCTTAAAGATTTTTACTTATCTATCGCCGCTATATAAGGAAAGTATTTTGATCGGCTCGAATTTCAACGAATCCTTTCGTTTCAGAGTCTCCTGAGTCTGAAAACACATTTTCAGCCATTAGTCTGTTTATCTGCCAAAGATGATCTCAGGAATAAGTGTACCGAATTTGTTTCTTCTTCTTTTTTTTTTTTTGTAAGGTTTTGACTACCGATGTCAGTGAAACGAATTGGAAGTTTCCTACCCAATAGAGAAATACTCGTTTTTCCATAGATTTAAGTGGAAAACGGCTCTAACAATTTTGATTGAAACTCTTTTATAATTAAAGTCCTTTCAACTTTCGTACATCTAGTGAATTCCCGAGAAAATTCAGGAAAAAAGATATCACGAAAAGAATATCTTTTGGGGGCTTAAACCGCAAATTATACAATTGCAGAAAACAAAAAAAAAATCTTCGGAATCGAACCAGTATTAACAATGATACAGCGTATTTTGTTTACTTTCCTGGCGCTACTTGATTAGGAAAAAGTATTGCGATTTCATCAAAGTTCTAATGTGATGTTTTCAACAAATATTTACGTTTCAAAGCCCTTTGAATCCAAGAAATTCCCAGGGCTTTAAACCACGGAGGGAAACCCAGGATCATATTTTCTCATTGAGAATGTTTGTTGAGAAAGCATGGGATTGAGGAAGAAGGCTGTTTTTGGTATCGATGGCCTGGACTTAATGGCTGCATTTGATTCGTTTCTTCGACAAGAGATTTTGAATGCTCTATAGAAAAAACGGGTGCCATCCAACCTCTTCAGCGCAATCAAATCGTTATACCAGGATCCCAATAGTGCAGATATTTAACAGATCTGAATCGGAGCCATTTAGGTTTTATAAAGATGTCAAGTAAAGTGGTAGCCTAAGCCCACTACTACGCATCATATGCATGAATGAAGTATGGAAGGTCTGTAAGCGAAGGAAAACCAGAGCAACAGTGGGGTGCTGGAATTTAATTCCTGTGTAGGTCCAAGCTCTCCAATATGCAGATGATGTGGTCATGATAGCCGAGACCCAAGAAAGGCTTCAGATGGCTGTTAATGAATGGTCGGAAGAACTCCAGAGAAAGGGGATGGAAATAAATCCTACAAAAAGTAAGGTGATGCTCGTCGTCCGAGGTGTGGAAGTACAAGTTCTCATAAAATGTAATAATGAGGCGTTAGAAGAAGTAGATAACTACTAATGATGGGGCACGATTTTCAGCAGAGATGGAAGGATGGACCAGGAGCTTTTAAGTAGAGTAAAGAAGACCATTGGTGTGTTTTACTCTATATGCACTACAATATTAGGTAAACAGAAAATAAAAATAGTTTTGTTTAAAACAGTATTTATGTCTGCCCTTTTGTATGGTACAGAGTTGGCGGTCCTGAACAAGCATGTAACAAAAGTAACAGTCATAGAAATGAGATACCTCAAGAGCGTTCTTGGGAAAATACGAAGAGACAAGAGAGAAGGAGAAACGAGAGAATAAGAGAAGAACTGAATATAATGCCTGTAAAACAAGTAATAGAGGAGCGCCAACTGAATAGTTTGGCTATATGTACCGAATGGGTAATAACTGTAAGGCAAAATGTTTCCTAGAAGCAAAACCAGAGGGAAGGCCACCTAGAGGCAGGCCCAGGCTGTTGTATTGTGACTAGGTGGAGAGACTCGGACGTGCCAGAGGAAGCACCACCGTGGATATGAGGAGGGCCAATGACAGAGATCAGTGGACGAGATGTGCCGAGGCAGTTCTTCCACGCTGATGGCAATAAGGAGGTGGTAAAAGAAGAAGAATTGCAGTTGGTTAGTCGATTAAAGCGATGGCATCATCTTCTTGTTTGTTCGGGATCTCTAGATTGAGTTAAAATCTTCCAGTTGACAATAGTTTGTGCGTGCTCTAGACTTTCCAGTACGGATGTACCTAATAGGTACATCGTAACGCGTGTGCGGAGCTTTAAATAATTTTTCGAATGGTTGTTATAATTTCCGACAAAACTGAAAAACAATCATCTAAATTTGATCACTTTTAGTAATGTTACAGCATATTGAATTTCATACGCTAATTTTAATGATGGCCTGTGAACATTGCATTTAATTTAGTTCATAAAATAAATCATACTTCAATAATTTTACTGATCGGTTTCCAAAAACATTAATCAACCTCAATTGTTTTTTTTTTATGGATATATTTAAAGTAAATTTTACATTTCACAGACTAGGGGAAACACAATCATCTAATATAACTAACAGAGATATCAGCGCTAAGATAAACTTTTTAAAAATGTATTTTGTTACCCAGCAGATGTAAAACATCAAAACCACAAGCATAGGGAAACAACTATTTTAATATCTGCTTTTTCGATGTTGTATAATGTATACATGCACCTTGTACGTCTGTAGGTAGAGATTTATCTGAAGTCGGTAGGAAAGTCGTGTGACGGGATCCTACAGATTATTTAGTAGCTTATCTATATTATCACAGTCCACTAACTGCTGCATTATCTGACAATTGAGATTATTTAAACGGCCCGGAATAGTTTAATTTAAATAGTCATTCAATAATGATTCAACGAAAAGTGCTTAGATCTGAAATCAGTTCACTGACTCATACTTCTTTCTTTTAACTTATTATTTATACGTCTTTGGGTTTGATATACAACAAATGCAAACAAGGATTTTGAATCGTGGTATTCTGATATTTACAGTTTAACTGCTATATAATGAACTTGGGTTCATAGCTGCAATATTTTATTTAATATACTTTTTTTTATTAATGATCAATTACCTTTTCATCTAATGGATAAAGAATTATCAGAAAAAGAGTTTTTGAATATTAAAAAACAGATCTTGGGAAGTCCTGATTCCAGCAAAAAAGGAAATTTTGACTCTGCTATAGTAGATCTCATCAATCTTTTAAATAATGAAAGAGATTATGTCACTACTAGTTCATGTTCTGGAAGGACAGTTTTAATATCTGTTGTAAGCCAATATCTGTCATATTTCTCAATTCATAACTAGTAGGATTATAATAATATTTATATATTATATAATAATATATAAGGATTATAATAGTCAATAAACTATTCACCTTTAATTTTAGAATGCTGATAACAAAAAAAACGAATGTGAAACTTGGTATGAAACTCATGAGTTTGCCAATGAGAAGGATTTAACAAGCACACTTCAGAATGCTAATGGATACCTATTTTTTAAATTTGAACCTTTTGTGCTTCATATACAATGTAGAACACTTATTGGTGCTAAGAAATTGGTATTTTAATGTTCAATAGAAATAATAATATTTTCTTCAGTTGGAAAAACAGTTAATATTTATTAATATAGCTTTCTTTTTCAGTTTGATGTAGTTCGAAATTCAGGCTATAAAGATTCAGGCCTTGTGATTGGTAAACACGGTAAAATAATTCTGGCCATTAGAAACAAGAATAATTTGGAGATACCTATATCTAATGGAGAGGAGATAATTGTAACGAATTCGGTATTTATTATTTCATCCAATTATTTGTCTGTTCATCCATAATTTTTTTTGTGTTTGTTCATTATTTATTGTTTCAGTATCTAAAGTACTGTATTGACCTTGCGAACAAGAAGATGACCAGAAACTTAGAACAAATTGATAAATTTCAAAATGCTGTATCATTATACTTTCATTCTGTCAAAAATGAGAACAGTTAAAGCTTGTTATAAATATAAATATTTTTAAAGGGCAGAACAATTGTATGTGAGAAGGAAAGTGAAATAAAATTTCTGTAGAAGATTCTATTTTATAATATCCACTTCAAATCACCTTACTGATTACTGCTGCTCACAGTCATTTTATTGGTGTGGTTATCTCACCTTGATCAAATTCTGTACATGCTTTCATCAGCTCTCATAAGGTAATTTATTTTTCAAATTAAATCTCCAAAAACTAACTTCATTAACTATTGAATTGCTAAAGTAACAGTTTTATGTGCTTATTTTATATAATAGGTCAAGGTTAATTACTTTAATTGGCCTTGATGTAATTTTGAAGGAATTTTAGTATATCTTTTTTTACCAGTGGTGGTTCTTTACTTTAATAATATTTGTCAAAATAGTTGCAATATATTAGTATTTCAAAATGATCAATATTGATTAAGAAAAAGAATTCAATTTAAAATTTTTTTTTTTAAATTGTTTTGAGATGACTACTATAATAAAATTGGAGTAAACCCTAAAATAAAAGTAAATCTAAAACATTTGTCTACGCAATAATCTTTTTGAATAAATGGTCTTACGTTTAGGCTATAAACAGTGTAGGGATGCAATGGAGACATATTTATTTCATTGTTTTTGTTTTATGGAAAGTATAAACAGTAGGTTTTTGCAGTTTTAATATATGAAGAACCAAATAGAGATTAAGAGAGGTATGTTTGTAAAAAGGAAAAATTTTACATGTTTTCTGTTTTAATTCTTGAATCACATCTTAATCTCATTAGAGATTAAATTGATAGAATGTCAAGATATTTTCAACCTTAATGATTTTTTTTATTCCAATATTACAATTTTCAATAAATAAATTGATCACTTTCAAATGTTTTTGATTTATTCCATCTGACATTTCGTGGAACAATGAAATAGAATATATGTTAGGAGTTTGAAAGGTTTGATTTTTGTTTTTCAGGAAAATTATGATACTAGAATAAATTATTAAGCCCCTTTGTTTAAATAAAAATTTATGTTATTAAAATTTAAAATAAAACATTTTAAAGATATTTAATTTCAAAGGAAGATGGTCCGGGGTGGCGGTCATAAATAGACTAAATAGTGGTAAAACTACTTTTATTAAAAACCAACGTTTCAACCCGACTTTGCAGGTTTTCTTCAGGGAGGTGTGTTCAGCTAGGAGTTTCACTTAGAACACTTAGGAGTTTCACTTCAGTTCTAACAGTGGAATCCTCCCTGAGTGAAGAACAATATGGATTTAGGCCAAATAGAAGTACCTAGGATCTCACATTTACTTTAAGACAAATGTCTGAAAAATTAATAGAAAGGGACAAAGAGATATATGCCTGTTCTGTAGACCTCACTAAGGCATTTGACCAAGTGAAGAAGCAAGGCATAGCAAAAGCCTTAGAAGACAAAGGCATCAAAACGGGCCTCCGTAAGGCAATTCTAAGTCTCTATAAGACCCAAAGAAATGTGAGAACATGCTATAAAATATCGGAAGAGTTCACAACTGATCAAGGTATTAGGCAAGGATGCAGTCTAAGTCCTCTGCTATTTACACTGGTGCTAGATAATGCAATAAAAATAGCAAAACAAAATATGAGATCATATAAAGTGGGATACAGATATCTACAGCCTGTATTTTTCTCTCTTTTCGCTTATACAGGCAATCTGGTGGTTTTCGGAAGCAATGGACGAAACCTGCAATTCAACCTCCGCATTCTTCAGAAAGAATTAAATAACATAAACATGCAAATAAATGTGGAAAAAAACCAAAACTATTAGGATTGGCAGAAAACAAGGAAGAGGAGACAGAATAGTGCACTTGAGTGGAGTTCCATTGGAACAAGTGAAAACTTTTAAATACCTTGGTGCCCACATCAATGAACATGGATGGATTGACGGTGAAATAAAGTAAAAAGTGAAGGCTGCAGGAAGGTGCTTCAACGCCATCAAGAAAGGATTCTTGAACAAGAGAGAAGTGAGTAAAGAGACCAAAACGACCATGTACAAAAATACTTTCCTCCCAATAATGACCTACTCCAGCAAGTCATGGACCCTCACCACAAAGCACATCAGCCAGATTCAGGACATGGAGATGCGATTCCTGTGCAGGGTCGAAGGAAAAACAAAGAGAGATCGCATAAGAAACTCCATAATACAGAAAAATCTGAACGTAAGATCAGCCGAAACTGTGATGGAGGAAAATCGTTTGAGATGGTTTGGTCATGTCTCTCGAATGCTAGAGAATCGAAGATAATAAAAAATCGGCCAGGATAGCGTTGGAAAGTAAAGTGGATGGAAGAAGACCCAGGAAGACCTGGGAGGTCAGTGTCAAGGAGGCCTTTGACAGAAGGGATATTGACTGGAGGAGGAGGCGGCAGTTGGCTCAGGATCGAGAGTTGTGGATTCGGCTCTACAAGAAGGCTCCTCACACCACTCAGCGGTACAAGATGAAATGATTAAGGAGAAGGAGAAGAAGAATTTCAAATTTGATTATATTATTTATTTTAAAGATATTAAATATTTAATAAACTATTTTAAGATTTAAAAAGAACTATTTACAGTCTACAGATCTTTCATTAGGCTAATATGCAGAAATGATTACCAACAAACAATTTAAAACAATAAATAAATTATTAAATTCGTACAATTAATAAATCATATCTCTTCTGGCTTATTGGAGAGTGTATATATATCATTGCTTTGTTTGATAGTGGCTCAACTAGAAAACAATTGTTGATATTTTGTTGGATGTATTCCGAAGATAGTAAACCTTCGTCATAGAGAATGTACATCCTCGCTTTCTGTAGTTTTTAGTTATCAATCGGTATCCATTATCTCTTAAACAGTGGTGTACCATTATTTGTTTCATGGTGATAAATAAATTATTATTTTATATTCAACTCCAAACAGCAATATGCAATATTTTATAACTGTAGAAATACGTTTTCATTCTTTTGAGAGCGGAAGTTTAAAAAGAAAGGTTTCATGCATGTTATATTGGCCATTCTGTTTTGTTTTATGAATCTATATGATTTGGAGCAGAAGGCAGATTTGATTTAAATGTTCGAAAATTTATTTTAATTTTATTAAGTACGTTTAGCATTCCAAAGTTTCTATATTACAGTTTCTTTCTTCACTATCACTGTTCTATTTAGAATAATGTTTATTTAAAAAGCAATCATCATACATCTTTTTTTTTTGTTTACTTCTCCGACCATGTAGATCTTTGCTGCCTTAACGAATCTTCTATACCTCTGCCTATCTTGGACTTCTTCTTTTCAGTTTTCTACTTACAGCTTTGCTATCTACACCTCCATCTAACATCGTTTTTTCAGCTGTTCTTCTTATATCAAAACTCAGCCCAGATTGCCCTGGTATTCATGCTCAGGAATTTCCTTTCAAATCTCTTGATTCTATATTATATGTTGTCAGCTCAGGATCACAAGTCTTGTAGCTGTTTATCATCAGAACTGGCTTTATTATGTATTGTATACCCTTAATTTGAGAATTTTCAGAATTTTAGTACTCTTAAATGATAGAAGGAAGCTCTTTTTCCATTCTATTTTAACTTCCATATGGCAAGGCTCCTAAATACAGAGTGCAATATGGCTCGGCGATACAATATTTCTGTCGGCGGCGATATAGTTGTATTATTATCTATTGGATTATAGCAGTCACACAGAGTGTGATAATCCACAATAATGCAGACAAAGGAATATCGTTTCACTGGGACATATTGTGTTCTGTGTATAGGAGTCTTAAGATTAGTCATTTATTGGGATAATTGTGGAGTCGAAGTATTTCAATCTGAATTTCATTAGAAATGATTTTCTATCTTACACAGTTTCTTTCATTGAGTCGATTTCTTGGCTTATTATCATATATTTTGTTTTATCTCCATTATCTCTTAGAGGTATTCCTCATCTTTAAACATTTCTGATGGTTGGCTGTGCAGCCCTAGGGGCTTTCTTATTTTCTTTCTTTGTAGGTAATGTATTGAAAGATAAAGGATGAAGAAAATTATCATCCTTATTTAAGTTTTATTACATCAAGTGTGTTTAGAGACATTTTCACAACACATGGTTTTAGTCAAAAATAAATTAAAGATGGCCACAAACAAAAAATTTCAACCAGTTTTAAACATATTAAATCCGAAAAACTGGTCAAAAAAATGATAAAAATAAAAAATGTAGAGGAGTAAAATTATTTCAAATGGGTTGATCTAATACCTTTATATTACATCCTTTTGTCCTATTACAAAACAAGATGTAGAGAGGGAAGGGGCGAGGGAAAGTTATTCAATTAGTAACCACCTTATTCTAACCAGAGTGATAAGGCCTAGGTCATTTCACTGAGTTTGCTTCTTTAACTTTAAGATGCTATCTGACCTATACATTTCATTTTTAGGAGAAGAAGAAGAAAAATAAATTTTATTCTGGGACTAAGTCCCCTTAGAATAACTAAAATGTACAATTTAATGACAATTTTCTGGCATTAGGAATAAATTAAATTACATGATTGTCTAGATCTTATAATAAAGAAAAGGCACTGTTAGATATGTGAAATCATAGATAAATTCAGATATGCGAGTTCACATATTTGTACACATACACAATGTGGGTGATATATAATTATCTGTCAGATAACATTAAAGCAACTGACAGATTTGTAAAATGTGAACATTATTTTACACATTTTCGGAAGATTGATTACTGAAGAGATGGATAAATAAATTATGTTTAAATGAGGTCAAGGATGATGATTTGTGTATGGAGCTTGGCAGGGAATTCCAAAACAAGGTAGCACGCATGACAAAGGATTTTTAAAGGAAACAGTTCTATGAGAAGGGATAAACAGGTTTGAGGACTGGGATCTCTTGTTGAACGAATGGACAGAGGAACAAGGAGTAAACAAATCGAGAATGTAAGAAGGTTTATTGGTTGAAAAGGTTCGAAAAAGGAATACATCTAGGAAGTATTGCTGTTGGAAGACTGAATAGAGCCACTCCAACTCGGCATACCAACTGGAGACGTGGGAGCGCCTGGGGACTCCAAAAATAAATCTATAGAAACAATTCATTAGTCTCTTTAATCTGATCTCAAGCCCTCCCGACAGTACACCTTATACAAGGTAGCCATAATCGAAATGGTGGAAAATGAGTGAGGAAACTAGGAGCTGACGGAATCACGGAATCTAAAGAACTGTTTCAGGGTGGCAATGGATTTTCAGATTATTTGGGTAATATGATTATTCCATGACATATTCTGATCAAATATTACCCCAAGGTTTCTAACGGAAGTGTGGAAACGGATAGGTAGGCCATTGAGGCAGAGTAGGGGATAATAAGGAGTGGAATTAATTAGATTCTTGGAACCAATGATAATGGCTTTGGTCTTCTCAACATTCAACTTTAAATCGTTGCTGACTGCCCAAGTATTGATATAGAGGTCGTGATGGCTGGTAAGCAGTTGATCTAGAAGTAGGGGTGTGGTTGTCGAATGGGCTAACGCCTGTGTACAGCACTGCCCATTGCCCAGCAACCTGATAACCGAATTATAGATAGTAAAATAACTACGAGTTCGCCAGTGGGTTTTTTTAACTCTGGTATTAATCCCCCGCGTTCACTCCCTATCCTGGGAAAACCCTGTAAAAAGTTAGGGGGAGAAGAAAAAAAAAATAAAAAAAATGATGATCTAGAAGTACAAACAAACCTATTCTAACTAAATTGAGAAGGTTGAGATTCATTCTGTGGATCCACCACAAAATAAATTTCAACTTGAATTTATTTATTTAACTTTTAAAACCATGTAGAATTGTTATTTATGGATGCTTTTATAATTAATTGTTGAATTTTCAGGTCCCTTAAAATGTCTAACCGTCCAAAAGTATTCATTTCTAGATCAGATTATCCAGAAGCTGGTATTAAATTACTCAGAGATAGGTGATTTATATTTTAATTTTATCATGTTTTGTTGTGAAATAATTTTAATTTTAATTTTCTTATATTACTTTATTAGGTGCGAGATTGAAGTTTACAATTCCTTGGAGAAAGATGTTCCTACTAATGAATTATTAAACAAGTTGGTTGGGAAAGATGCATTATTTATAACTTCAAAAAATAAAATAAATAAAGAGGTCGTTGAAGCTGCTGGTAAATTGCTGTTCCAATTTATTATTAATTAATTGAGTTAGTAGCTAGGAAAAAAAAACAGACTTAAATATTCTTTTTCTAAGCCAATGTTTTAAAAAGCCATTATCAATTTTTTCTATAATCTTACCAAATTTGAATTCATAGTTTAATAATTTATATTTAATAAATTATAGGTGATATTAGGGAGATAATGGTTGAGAGTGCAGTCAGAAATATAATGCTAGTATAGTATAATATACTGTTTAACATGAACTGATGTCTTGTGCTTAGTGACCAAAAATTATTCAATGAATTAACTTCTTTTCTTATCACTTTTGATAGAGTTACCCAATTTTTTTTTTTTAATATTGATAAGAAGACTAAATAAGGATGGCACTATAAATGTGAATTGTTTTTAATTAATAAAATTTAACAGATATATTACTTCTCAATTTATTATATTATTACTTGAATTTTCGCTATTGATAGTTGTTAATCGACTATTATAATATGTCATTCGTGATAAATAGTCAGAACTCGATGATTGTGATAATTTTATTTTACAAGCCAACACTTTCCACTTTGTTTATTATTTCTTCACTTAGTTGAACCTCATAATCGTTCAACGTGTTGAGTATGGATCCCACTTGATGGATTAACAAAATTGTACCGGTGATTCACCTGGAAATGATTATAGTTTGCTTCATTCAGTTATTGGGTGTTGTATTCTGTCCAACAGTCAGAATAACTGGTTCTTCTCTTTTGTATATTGTTTTTAATACCTTGTAATAAAGTTATTGCCTATCTGTCATTTATATGAACGGTAAAAACACGTCTGTTTCTCGGTAAACTCCGCCAAACATCCATTGCTCAGGTAGAACTCTCCCTACATGATTTTTTTCTTTTTTAAAAAGACTCGTCTACTTCAACGACTTTGTCAGGCCCTCCAATTTTTTTACTTGACCTGTATAACATGTTATGGGCACAAACCTCTCTGAAAAATTTGTTCGATAGCCTCTTCTTCTGAAGACGGTAATTCCCAGAATGTAATAGCATCCATAATTTGACAAAAATCACACAAATGGAACAAAAATGAACAATGGAATTACTCACAGCTTATAGGAGATAAGAAGGGAGGTTATGTGATGTAACATTAGATAACAAGGGAGGTTTCATCCTGCCCAGCTATCTGACAAGCACCATTTTCCCCTTACATCTCACATTTTAAATAAATAATTGAATTCTGTTACATTTTTTTTTTTTTTTTTTTTTTTTGTCCAATTAACAATAGGTAAAAATGGAGTGAAAGTAATTGCTACAATGTCAGTTGGGCTTGACCACATTGACTTGGAAGCAATTAAAAGAACTTCTATAAAAATAGGCTATACACCTGATGTTTTGACAGAAGCAACTGCTGAACTCACTGTTGCTTTGTTATTGGCTACATCAAGACGCATTGTTGAAGGACACAAGACAATTGTTAGGTAACATAATTTATTGTTTATTGATACACTTTTATGAACACATTACTTATGGCTGGCAGTACTTTTCTCTTATAGTATCCCAATATGTGGTTGCATAGTTAGCATTTTTTAATTTTTTTTTTTACATAGAATCCAACCATGAATTGGAAATAACATCATATAATATAAAGTAAAGGTTCTATTTACTTCACCATGCTTATTTTCCATTTTCTACATCAGCTGCGTTTCGACTATGACGCCATTATCAAACCATCTGTAAGACCTAAATCACAATTAGTTTTATGCGAAACTACATTTAACAGTGATGTTAGTCAACTCTTAAAAAACAACATTGTATAAATTATAACTCTAATGAGGTTGAATCAATAAATTAATTTATAAATCAATTTAATTAAAATAAAAGATGGAATAAGAATATTCTATAAATAAAATAACATATATTAAGGCAAGGTCAATCATATACCACTTCTTAGTGAATTTTAATATTCTTACTTAATTCAATAATACTCCATATGTTCAGTCCATAATTGGATTATAGTCGCTATACGAGTGTGTAGTTGGGAAGTTACATGACTGGATACAGTATAATTTTCAGGCAGAAAAAAATGGTTAAACAGTGCATATGCAAATATCACCATTAAATTTGAATTTTAATGAAACAATATCTTTAATTGTTGAAGCAACTATTAAAAATATTGTTTAATTAAAATTCCAATTTAGTGGTAATATTTGCATATATACTGTTTAAGTATTTTGTATATTCGTATCACGTTTTGATACAACATAAGTGGCAAAATAGTATAATTAATGTAAGGTCTTATTGTGAAGCAGAATGGGTGTCAGATCATGAATTAGTAATCGTGAATCGTTGACAAGAAACCATTCCTATTCTAATTCACAAAAAAGGCCTGAGGACGGATCGTAATAACTATTGAGGAATTTCACTCCTTCCGGTATGTTATAAAATATTCACATTAATCTTAACTAATCGAATCACAGAAATTACTGAAGACTACGAATGTGGATTTAGATGGAAACGTTTGACTGTCAATGAAATATATTCTTTATGTCAAATATTAGAGTAAAAATTAGGGTACAACAGTTTTGTTCACCAGCTTTATATCAATTTCAAAATTCTGATTCCATTGATCGCCAGAAGGTGTAAAATATTCTAATCGAGCAGCAGATTCCTAAAAAATTAGTGAATCTAGTTAGGATGTGCTTGACAGAAACACTCAATAAAGTTAGTTAGTTAAAATCAGTTATTATTTATCCGAGAAATTTGAAGTTCGTTCGGGCTTAAAACAAGGTGATTCTCTTTCACCTGTCCTATTTAATTTGGCAATTGAACATGCCATTAGAGAGTTGATACATACCGGAAAAGGTTTGAATTGACCTGGGTTCAACATACTACAACAAAATAGTTTGATGAAATTTCCTTTTGTGATATTCCAACAGAATCCACTTACAATTAGTGTGACAACTTTTGACCAGTTTATGGGAGACAATGCAAATCTCTTAATTTCGTTTTAGTGAACTTTGCAATGGAAAATAACAGTTTAATAACTAATAGTTGTACAATCCATAATCAACGGATCGCGCAATTCATAATCAACGTAACGTACAATCCATAATCAACTGGTGATATAATAAATAGGACTTTTGTTATTTTAATGGTATTCATGATTTGTTGGCTGTAATTTTTTATCTTTAGCTCAGTTAAAAATTCAATTCCAAAATTTTATAATAGCCCAACATGGCCAGAAAATAATTTCTATTCAAAGTTGAGCGCTAAGTGAAAGTTATGTGTTGCGCGCACCAGATTTTTATAATTACATATACGGCTGATTGTTTTTAATATAAATTTTTGCTTGTTCCATAGTGGTGAATGGAAAATGTGGACTCCTACATTCATGTGCGGTCAAGGCCTTTACAAATCAATCGTTGGATTTGTGGGATTTGGTCGAATTGGACAATCTATAGCTAAAAAACTCATACCATTCGGAACATCTAAAATTCTTTATTCAGGCCCCAGAAGAAAACATGAAGGTTTAATTATTCTTGTACTTTAAAACACCTTTATTTGCCATAATAGTTCTTGAATTAATGACTAACACACAAGTTTTTACCTAAAGAGATTTAATGTACTATTAGATTGTTTTTTCCAGGTGATCAATTAGGGGCAGAATTCATAGACTTTGATAGTTTACTTCAGCAAAGTGATTTTGTCATTGTTACATGCCCTTTGACATCTGAAACTGAAGGTATTTTTACAGCTGAGAAATTTTCATTGATGAAGCGTTCAGCAATTTTTATAAACTCAGCTAGAGGAGGTGATTAATTTAAATAAATAAAAAGTTATTAGTATCATAGAATTTGACAATTATGATCATAATCATTGTCACTGGCGTGACAACCCATTACTGGACCACCTCCAGAAGCCTACTCCAGCTGGCACGGTCCTGTGATGCATTTATCCAGTTCTGGATTTATAGATCTTTTGAATTCATACTGTCTAGTCACCTTACCCTCAGTATGCCTACTCTTTTTGTCTTTTGCCGTTTCTCTGACATCAATAGTTTGGGGATTCTGGAATCATCCATTCAAGAGACATGGCCAGCCAAGCATAACATTCCAATCTTAATGAACTTTATCATGTTCACTTCTTTATAGAGCTTGTAAAGTTTTCAATTCTTTCTTCTGTACTAGACAGCCCTGTTTTTAACAGGTTCAAAAAGTTTCCTTAGAAATCTCCGCTCAAAAATCAGAAGTTTTCTTCAAAAATGGTAGCCCAAGCTTCTGAGCCTATCAGCATATTGTAAAATTGAATTTTTGTTTTATTTTAGTTTTATTATTATTGTCATACCTGAGGGCAAATTATTAATTGACTTCATTCATTTCGTATCTGCTTCTCCCATAAAAGGAAAATAAGATTGTATAACTCCTTCTTTAATCCTCATACTTCAAACACTTGGCCTCAAACCCATCTATGCATGGAACCTCAATGCTTTTCAACTCCAAGATGGCACTTTTAATATCTTCTATATCAGGTGACTATATCTTCTGTATTGTCCTCTTACTTGAAAGATGCTTGATTGTTCTCTATTAATAAGGAATCTGATCAAGATTTAAATATAACTAACTTCATTCATTGATTTTATTATAGAATATCCTTGGTTCATTTGTGTGTCAAAGAATATTGATTTTATCACTTGTTTCTTTCCCAACATTCTTATCTTTCTTTGTAGAGTTTTATTATCTCATTTCTTCTCCGGTATTCTGAAATAGTTTACCTTGTATATCAATGGACCATTTTTCTGTGTGTCCTGTTTTTATTAGTCTTAGCCTCAAGATCATTCTTATCATAGAGTCATGGGGATTTGCAAGAATATTCATTTGCTTCTTGGTCTGCTGTGTATTTAACAGGTGATAAGGCCTTCTAGTAATCCTTGACACTTTATCCAGCATAGCTCATGAATCGTTCAAGCCTTTTGTCAATTTCATACCGATAGATAACACGATTTTCTTCATTTTTAAGCTTGCCAGAATACAAGTATGATTGGTATCCATATTTGCCTCTCCACATGATTAATCACACAGAAAATTTGATTTATGGCTTGCCATAAATCAAACATATAAATTCATAAATATTCATGAACTTTTCAATCACCAGTACATTGGAATGGGACCCTTCTTTGGTCCCTTATAGATTATTTTGACAATTTTTACATACGGCTACTGACAAAATGCTCTTGATCTATTAATTTATATGTATCATTATAAGTACTTGTTTAATTTTAAAGCTATTCATATACTTTGAAATTAAAAATATATATATTTATAGCAATAGTCGATCAAGAATCTCTTGTACATGCCCTCAAGAATAAAATTATTGCTGCTGCTGGTTTAGATGTAATGACTCCTGAACCTTTACCTAAAGACCATCCTCTTGTAAGCCTTGATAATTGTGGTAGGTAATATTTTAATTGTTCATAGTATGTTTGAATCTCATTACATAATGTGTTTACTTAATTTATAAATATATATATATAATTTTTTATGACATTTTTTTTTTAAACTTTATTAAAATTATTTTAATGTGACATTGTTTAATTTTGTAAAACATTCTTATTTCAGTATTATTTATTATCAATGTTTTTACAGTTCTCACCCCACATATTGGAAGTGCTACTTTGGAAACTAGGGATGAAATGTGCATATTAACTGCTAAAAATATCCTTGCAGCACTGGATGGTGAAAAAATGCCTGCTGAATATATTTTGTAAATAAATGTTGTTGTTATTTATATATTCATTTAAAATTAAAATAAAAGAGATTATGGTTTCAAAAATTATTCGAGTCTTATATTTTGTTCATAAATTTTGATTTTAGTAAAATTATTTAATTTTTATTTACATGACCATTGGATAATAGAATATTTAAAACCTTTAAGTATATGCATTTTAATTATTTTATTTTGTCTTTTTGTTTGTACTTCTGAAAAGTTTTATTTTGGTATTGTATTTTATTTTATGTTTTTTTAATACTAAATATAAAAACCTGAAGGTTTATATGTTTTTTTATTTTATGGATTATGTAACATATGATATTATATTATGTATTTAGTGAACAGTATTTGGCAGAAATAGATTTTTCAAAAATATATCCTGAAATTGGGGAGTGGACTGAGGAGTACCTCAGTGGTAAGGAGTTGAGATTCCAATGCTCTAGGTCCCAGGTTCGAATCTTGTCTATAACATAGTTGGGGAACCTTTTTACCATTAGAGGCCACAGTAAGGTAAGCCAGAGCTAATGGAGGCGGCAATAATTCTTTATATTTTACCATTGCTATTTTTATTAATCCCTAAATTAACACATCCACATACATATATTCAACTTAATTCTGTTAATTTCCAAATGACTTTACTTAAAGAATTAAATATTAATCTATTCTAGCACTAGATTCAAAAATATCTTCAAAAAAATTTTGGAGGCTGCATCCGGGCTCCAAAGCCGTAATTACGTCACAGAGGCTACATACGCCCTCCGTGGCCGCAGTTCCCTATCTATGGTCTATACATTTGAAATCACTTAGACCATGTTGCCCAATTTGAATTAGTTTTGTTGGTCATCATTTTTATATTAATATTTTTTTAACCAGTTGTTTCTTGTTTAATGGTGAGTACAAAACTATACAAATTTTTTGAGGCTCACACCTTTTTCTTTGCAGCCATATTGAATTTGTGATTGAAAACAATTATGGGGAAATGTCCCTTCTAATTCTAGCTATTTTTTACTTTCACTTACCTATATATGAAATATATAGTAACGTATGAAAGTGAAAAATCTGCCTTTTCATTAAACCTCAAGATTAAGCCATTCAATGAGAAAACTTCAATGGCATCTACTTCTCTCTGTTCTAGGACTTTTTGCCAATGTGTAGTTGACATTAACATATGTTAGGTCACTATTATAAATATATTAAACTGTCTGTCCTTCCTGACCTTCCCACTGATGTGATCATTGGCCATGATATACTCAAGCAGCAGGGAAGTGTGAACCTGTTATTTGGCGCCCCCAAAGCAACTTTCACTGTATGTGATCTCCCAAATGTTCCACCTGCATCACTGTTTGAATTTCTTTCACCAGATTGTAAACCAATATCCATAAAATCACGCCAACAAACAAAACTGATTCACAATTTATAGAAGCTGAGATCGAACCTCCTTACTGAGGAGGTGAATGAACCAAGCACATCTCCTTGGGGATATCAAATACTGGTTATTTCAAGTAACAATCATTAAAGACCGATGGTGATTATTACTCTTGCACTATAAACCCTTATACCCTCCTGGATGCATATCCAGTTCCTCCAATAGAGTCCTTAGTAAATAAGATCGACCATTATGAAGTATTTAGTACCATCTACCTACCTAACGCTTATCAAATTCCTATAAAAGACAAAGATAAGCCCTACACTGCTTTTGAAGCATGTGGTCGCTTTTCCAGTTAAAAGAATTCCATTTGGAGTAACCAATGGAGTTGCCACATTCCAAAGAGCGATGGACCAAATATTTCGCAAAGAGGACTTGGAGGATACATTTGCGTATATTGATTATGTCACTGTCTGTGGAAGAGATTAAAGAGAGCACGACGAAAATCTGAAAAAAATCACAATCTAACGTTAAACAATGAAAAGAGCTCCTTTTCTTTAAGATCTACCAAGAAGCTTCTTGGATATTGATAAGTAACAAGAGCATCCAACCTGACCCCGATAAGCTAAAACCTCTCCGAGATCTGCATCCTTTAACAGACACGTCTTCATTGAGGAGAGTCGTTGACATGTTCGCCCATTACTTGACCTAAATAAAAGAAATCTCTAAGAAAATACTGCCTCTAACACGCTGTACATTCCCCTTGTCACAAGACGCATAACGTGCATTCAGCTATCTTAAACGAGAAATTGAAAATGCTTCATTGACTCCAATTGAGGATGACGCCCCAGTCACCTTGGAAATCGACGCTTCAGACGATGCTATTGCTGCCACTCTTACGCAAGACGGCTGTCCTGTGTCATTTTTTTGTAGAACTTTCTCCGTCTTGAACAAAAGCACTCATCAGTAGAAATGGAAACCTATGCAATAGTAGAAGCAATCCGTAAATGGCGAAGCTATCTACTAGGAAGACATTTCCATCTTATCACGGACCAGCGTGATCAGTAGCTTTTATGTTCAATTCCAAGCATAATGGGAAAATCAAAAATGAAAAAGATTTAAGATGGCACTTAGAGCTATCCTGCTTTCATTACGACATTATGTATAGACTAGGTAAAGAAAATGGAGCAGCTGATGCACTCTCGAATCGGTTCAAGTATGGACGATTCTGATAGCCGACTTCAACAGTTACATGTTTCTTTGTGCCATCCTGGAATTACGAGAATGTGCCGTTGGGTACGTATTAAAAATTGACCTTTTTCCCTTGAGATGATCAAAAAGTAACTTCATCGTGTGAGATATGTAATGAGATGAAGCCTCGATTATTTAAACATCAAGGGAAATTGATTAAAGCCACTTCACCGTTCGAACGCCTAAACATCGATTTCAAAGGCACTCTCCCAAATTCTAACGGAAACAAGTATCTTCTAATGATCGTAGATGAATACTCTCGATTCCCCTTTGCTTTTCCTTGTCGAGACATGACGTCATCTTCTGTGATCGCTGTTCTAACTCAATTGTTCTACTTGTTTGGCGCTCCTGCGTACATACATTCAGATAGAGGTACATCGCTGATTTCATAGAAATTAAAAACATTCCTCTTATCTAATGGCGTCGCATCCGATAGATCAACTCCTTACAATCCGCAAGGTAGTGGCCAAAATACAGCGGAATTATCTAAACGAAAATACTACTTGCACTGAAGTCTAAACGCTTTTCTGTAACTAAATGGAAATCGGTTTTACCTGAGGCTCTACATTCTGTGCGTTCTTTATTATGTGTAGCAACTAATGAGACACCGCATAGAAGGATGTTCAATCATCGTATACGAAAGGAGAATAGAGAATCATTTCCCAGCTGGCTAATGAACTCTGGCTCTGTTTCCTTAAACCAGTTTATTCGCCGCTCCAAATCTAATCCACTTGTAGAGGAAGTAACCCTCTTGGATGGTAATGCTGAATATGTTCATATTCTCTTTCCAGACAAAAGAGAAACAACGGTATCGACCAGAACCGTATATGACGAGGAGGTAGATAGCAATCAAGGGACACCTATCGTCACTGAAGCGGAGGAACACGTCAGAACTGACTCGGTAGTCGTACCATATGTTCAGGAAGAGGAATTCTCTGGGTCTAATTTGCAAAACGAATACCAAGGACGAGCAGTGAACAACCCTTCCGAGGACAGGGTTCAACCCCACGAGCTAGAACTAGAACTCCCTCATACTTAAAAGACCACCATTTATGTTACCTCATAAATGAATATGATGGGGTGAATGTTATGAATTTATGTAAATTAAAATTAAAATATGTTTATAAAACAACATAGTTTATTAATATTGTTGTATTCTATGAGTTGAATAAAACCTTCTGTTGAAGGTATTCTTTATTTCCTTTCATATCCCAAATATTTTTATATACCAGCCTAATTAGTTTTGTTCTGACTGAAAAAAAGGATTGGTCTCGTTAACTCTGAACAAACAAAAAGTTGAATTTTTCCTAAGGGTTTTTTGTTCCATCCATTTTACGACTGAAAACATAGCTATTAAGTATATATCACTACTGTTAGCGCAAAAGATCGTATGTAAAAGTTTTCAAATTTTATTCTATTTTGGCTGAAGGTGTTATTTTGTAGGTTGCAACTGATATAAATAATTTACTACGACGGCAAATAGCAGAGGGCAATTAAATATTAAAATTATGATAATAAATCATAAAGAAACAATTATTTTTTCTGAAAACACTCAATTTTCACATACATTAATGTTCTGTATGCACTGGGTTTTTTTTAATCACGAATCAACAAATATGCAATCTGCAAATGCGGAACTCTTTCGCATTTTAATATTTGCTCTAAGGCTTTTGATCGAGTCTGGCACCCAGGACTGCTTTACAAACTCCGTAAATTCCTACACCCTATATACTTCCTCATTATCCGTTCCTATCTAACTGATAGATCCTTCAAAGTAAATCATAATAATGCCTATTCATCACTTTTTTCCCAGTCCGCTGGTGTTCCTCAAGGTAGTATCCTAGGTCCTATCCTTTACACAGTTTATACAGCTGATATCCAAACCCATCCTAACTCTGTCATTACCACGTATGCCGATGATACATGTGTCCTAGCAATTAATAGCGACCCAACAATTGCATCCCAAACCCTTCAATCACACATCACAAACCTTGAAGTATGGTTTCAAAACTGGAGGATCAAAATAAATTCCAATAAATCCCATCAAATCACCTTTACCCTTCGTCGTAAACCTATGTCCTCTTGTCCTACAGTATCCTTTAATAATACCCCACTTATCCCTGTTGAACAAATTCGATACCTTGGACTCCACTTAGACAAACGTCTAACTTGGAATCCTCATACCAGACTGAAACGACAAGAAACAGCTCGACGTTTCCGACTACTCCAGCACTTACTAGACAAACGCTCTAAGCTCGCAGTCAATTACAAAAGACTCATATACATGACTACAATAAGACCTATTTGGACTTACGGAATTGAGCTCTGGGGCTCCACTAAGCCATCGAATTCCTCTCGTATCCAATCCTTACAATCCAAAATCCTTCGTAAAATCCTCACAGCTCCTTACTTCGTCACAAACAAAATCATCCATAACGACCTTAATGTTCCTTATGTTTCTGACCTGGCCCAATCCAGATACCTTTCCTTCCATAACAAACTTCACAACCATCCTAACTCTCTCGTTTCTAACCTTGCTTCCTTTTCGATCCTTGACAACCCTCCGAGGCGTCTGAAAAGAAGATGGCCTCGAGATCTCCTTTTGTAAATACATTTTTAGAGTGCTACCAGTGTGTAGTTTCTCAAAAAATGATTTCATGCTTTTATATTCTTTTGTTCACATTTACTGAATGTATTTTTACTTGTAATACAGTTGTAAATATCATCAATAAATAAAAAAAAAAAAAAAAATATTTGTTCATGAACAAAACCCGTGGAAATCAAACCTATATACGTTAAGGGAATACTGAATTTCCGAAAAAGGCTGCTCCCAGAGATTTTATTCTCATAGGAAAAATTGTAGACCTTGTAATACAGATATTTTTTAGCCAGTGAAACGGTGAGGAAGCTATACTAACTTTTTTGACAGACGTTTTTTGGAATGGGCACCATCAGAAAATGCCTCCATAGTTGTGGAAGACGACCAGTATCCCAAATTCGGCTACAAAATCGTAATAGTGATAGTTTATCTTCGTCAGGTAGATTATTTAGCATTAAATATGAAATACCGTCACTACCCACAGCTGATTTCTGTGGGCATTTCTGTAGGAAATATTCAAGTTCATGTATCCCGATGGCAATATTGTAGTCTCCTCCGTGGCCTAAGTTCATATGATTTGGTTCATTTAAGCAATTTGTAGATATTTGGATAGTAATAGTGGATATCTGATAAAAATGTTTTGTTAGTGTTTCCGCGATTTCGCCGGTATCAGTTATAATATTTTGTTCACTCTTTATACCAGGCAGTTTCTTCTTGTTGGAGATCTCACAATGATTTTTACTTTATTCCAGAGCTCCTTTATTGAAGTGTTTCATTTTATTGAAGACTTGAAGTCTTTCCATGACTATCTTTTGTTTTCCTTGATAGTTCTGTTTGCGATGCCTCTCAGTCTTTTGAACTCAATCGCATCAGGCATACTTCTGGTCTTTCTGAATTTGTTGAGGGCTCGTTTCTTCGATATGAACCTTATGAGTCTTCATATCAATCCTTGGAGGTTCGAAGTCCAAAAGCACAAGAGCCTTTATAGCAATGGAGCAAGGGCCCAAAAATCTACCTGAACGCAGGCGAAGGTTTGAATGTAAATTACGAAAGTTTGTGTTATTCTGAGTAAAAAGAACCTTGTCTGCCATTCCAGAGCCTCTGATTTCAAAAATGGCGGTTGATTTAGAGAATATAAGGCCAGTAATAAGAAGATTGAAACGGGAAATACATTGCAAAAATGTGAGAAAAGTTTTTATTTTTTTTAACTTGTATGTATGGGTTTATAGGTAAAATACAAAATTGCTAACGCGGGCCACCAAGGGAAAACTTTTTACAGCCACAAAAGTCAGTTTTTTTTTCGATATTTTTTTGTTTTTTTCCCTATAACTCTTAAACAACTCATCAAAGCTAAAAATGTAATATTTAATAGATTAAATATCTTTAAATTTTGCTTCGAACGAATACATAAACTTTATAATTTGGTTACGCGGTAAGGTATAAAACCGCAGTCAATCAACTCTGATTTTAACCAAATTTCTCGAAAACTGAGACAAATTACTATGAATGGCCCCGCAACTTGGAAATGAGTTCCTTAAGTAGAAAAAAACCATAAAATCAAAGTTGTAGAGCATCAAATTTTGCGTCTAGTGAGTATTAACTAATTTAATGTAGGTAATTTACTCCGAACAAAATCGGTAATCTCCCGATGGTTAGAAATTGGTACTAAAGGTAAACTTGATTTTCAATATTTCAACAGTATGGGTGTCTATTCTACTGAGTTATTTTTGTTTAAAGTCTTAATTAGCCTCTTTTCCACCTCTTAACAACAGAGGATTTTGAGAAATGATGTGTCGAAAGATACCGAATTTCATAGAGGAATGACGAATCCCGATTCGAGATACATAATTATCCTACAATAAAAATGTCAGCACTCAGTGGACGCAAAATTTGATGCTCTACAACTTTATTTCTATGGATTTTTCCTCTTAGGGAACTCATTTCCATGTTACAGGGCCATTTATAGTTATTTGTCTCAGTTTTTGTCAAATTTGGTAAAAATCAGCGTTGGTTTACCGTGGTTTTAAACCTTACCGCGTAACCAAATTATAAAGTTTATGTACTCGCTCGACTCAAAATTTAACTTTCTTTAATTTATTAAAGAATACTTTTTTTGCTTTGATATATCATTTAGGAGTTATAGGTGAAAAAATCTGTCTTTTTTGTCTGTAAAAAGTTTTCTCTTGGTGGCCCGTGTTAGCAATTTTGTTTTTTAAATGTTTAAACCCATATATATATATATATATATATATATATATATATATATATATATACTGTTTCGTTTCTCAAATTACTGGCCTAATATTCTTTAAATCATCCACCATTTTTTAAAGCAGCGGCTCTGGAACGGCAGGCAAAGTTCTTTTTACTCAGAATAACATACACTTTCGTAATTTACAATCAAACCTTCGCCTGCGATCAGATCAATTTTTGGGCCCTGGCTCTAGGGCTAAAACGACTTTAGTCGAGGCTTGTGTTTAAGCACTAGTTTAGTGACGGTTCCGTTATCATCGATGAGCTTATTGCTGAGTTTAATAAACTAAATTTCGTTATGAATAAAATCATTCTTCATAATTATAATCCTTCTTCCTAAATTATAAATTCCTTATCTCTTTCCTTACCTTATATTTATAACCTGTTAACGCATGGAGAGGTTATCTGATATATCCTTTTATATTTCTTTTATCAGTTAACTTCAGTTTAAAGTTTTGTATAAATGTTCCTAATTAAGAAATATTATGTGCTCTACAATGAAAACTATTTTGAAAGCTACTTTATTTGAAAAAACGACCAAGTTTTTATTTTTTCAGGTTTGCTGGTTCTTTAAGTTCATTTTACTTATACTTTTAAAAAATTAACTGGATGATATTAACCTGAAATGACACATGTTTTGTTCTAAAATTGTTTTAAATTGGAATAGTCCCGTTGTTAGATGATGAGGTAATTTTAAATGTCAACAACCACACTGCAAAAGCCTGTAAGAACAAAAACTAAAGATTTTCAGAAGACAAAAAATTTTTGTTCTATGAGCATTATATTTTCGGTCCAATTTTTTTTGCAGCCCTAAGAAAAAGATGTAATGCTCTATGTAACTTATTTGATCATATTTCTGCCAAATAATCTTTTAGAGCCATTTTTTCCAACATATAGCTTTTTACTTTGAAAAACAGGTATTAGTTGGGTTAGAGCATTCAAATTATTTGTAGTGATGCCCACAACTATGATTATAAAAATCAAAGCATGGCAGGAACAAAGTTAGTTTCCAAAATGTAGAGAAACAATGCTTCAAATAAAACTTTAACTGAAAGCAAGAATTTGAAGACATAGGTTATTTACTTTTCAGTCTCCTACTGTAGGGGTGGCTCGAATGGAGTGCATGCACCCCATTTTAAAGTAGTCTGAAAGATTCTGAATTTTATATGGACATGGTTTGATTCATGAATGCTCTGTAAGTTCTAGGTAACCTGTTGATGTGTTGATCACTTCATTTCTGAGCTTCTTGCGATTTCGAAGATTCATTGTTTTGGAAAGATGAAACTAGAGTTTATTTTTCGTCGCCTGTTAAATTTTCTAATTAATGATATCAATTCTCTGTCTCTTACTCTCTGGAATTCGGCAGCATTTTAGCTTTGTTTCAGTCAATTTTACTTTTCAGTGTTCAGGAGGTTTCGATTGTTTCTATCTCATCATCATGAATGGCTCTACGACTCTTGAAGAGTCAAGGCCTCCCGCAATTTCAACCGCCAGTCCTCTCCAAGTAATGCTGCTGCCCTCCAGTTCTGGACACCAATGATACTTCGGGCATCGGCTTTCACTCCATCAGCCCATCTGAGTTTGGATCTGCCCACCCGCCTTGTGGCGAAGATCCGCTCATCCATCAACTTCCATAGCACATGTTCAGACATACAGATAATGTGTCCTGCCCATCTCAACCTGCCAATTTTCATTAGCCTCACAACATCGGCTTATTTATATAGCTGCGTCAGCTCATCGTTGGATCGCATTCATCGTTTCTGATTAATATTTATTATTGGGCCGATTATTCTTCTTAGCACATGACGTTCAAACCGAAGAAGAGCTGTTTCTTGGGCTCTTGATATTGTCCAGCACTCCGACCCATATGTTAGTACTGGTCTGATCAGGGTTTTGTACAAGAGCAGCTTGGTTTTACGAGAGATCACTCTACTTTTGAGATGTCCCTGGAGACCAAAATAAGCTCTATTTGCGGCCATAATGCGCCTCTGCATTTCTTGGTTCATATAGTTATTTACATTAACTTGCGAGCCAAGGTATATAAATTCCGAGACATCTTCAAAAGTCATCCTTCCGATTTCTACATTTGCCTCTCTGTGGCCTCCACCCTTTGGGTCGGCTCGCATAAACTTTGTTTTCTTCTCATTGACCTTTAAGCCAATTCTCGCTGCTGCTCCTTGTAGCGCAAAGAAAGCATCTTTTATAGCTGCCCGCGTTCTTCCAACCAATGCAATGTCATCGGCAAACTCTAGTAATTGCACAGAATGATTAAAGACCGTTCCACAAATCTGAATTTGGGATCCTCTAATGGCACATTCGAGGGCAATGTTAAATAGAAGACACGCCAAGCAATCTCCTTGGTGCAGTCCCTTCTGCATTTCAAAATAGTCCGACATATCACATATTGGATTCTGACAGTGCATTGCACCTCCTTCATTGTCACTTGTATCAGTCGCACAAGTTTAGGTGGATCACCCAGGCTCAACATATCATGGTAGAGCTCATCTCTCAGGATGCTATCATAAGCTCTCTCAAAGTCTACGAAGCTCTAGAATTGTGTGTGCGTACATTATACTCTCTTGCCCTTTCTAGGATTGTTTTAATAGCGAATATCTGTTCGACCGTAGATCTTTCTCACATGAATCCAGCCTGATATATTCCTATTTTCTCTCTCAGCGAATGGAAATAGCTTCTGAAAGAGGATTCTTGAGTGAATTTTATATGCACACGATACCAGAGATATTCCAGGATTGTTTTTTACGGCTGTTTAATATTATAGTCGCACTTACAACAGAGAGTTGTAGAAGAGATCTTTGCCTCGTCTAGTTCCATCGTTAGCATTGCTGGCCTCAAAGCAGAGGAACTCTGCCATTTTCCCAGAGGCGCCGTGCTGGAAGTACCTGCCACTTATTAGAAATTTAAATAAAGAAAACAAAGCGTATGAGAAAAATTAATTTTATCCTATTAATAGAGCTAATTGATGCTGTAGTCTATGTGCAAAATGCTTTATACATTCTATTATATATTTACTTGACCACATTTCATTGAGCATTTCATTAATTTTTTTGGTAACGATACAATCTCTACAACCTTCACTGTAACTTACACTTTTTCACATCACAATTTGCTGGTTTTTAAATTACAGGTTTTTACAAAAGGCGATAGGGAAGAAATTTAGATTTCATTTTGAGGGATTAGAATATGGGACAGGACAAGATTAACCAGAAAAGCTCAAAACATCATTTTCCTTAGAAATTGTCCTCACTGGATTTTGTAGTGTGGCTGTCTATATATTCTTTCACTTTTCACTGACTCACTATGGTGGATCGAAACTCTTTTGTATGTCAAGTGCTAAACTCAAATCAAATTCCAGAAGAAAAGTTAGTTACTAGGAACAATAGAAGATTAAGAGTTGGTATCACTAGATCCCAAAGAAGTTGTAGATCTAAAAAATCATTAAGCTCTGGGCATTGATTGGGACCAGCAAAAGCACCTAAATTAGGGGGTGAGGATAAGATAAATACATTAGTTAACACTGTGAATCTGGATTACAGAGGAAATTCTATATAAGAATAGGAGGTGGCAGTTGTTTCACCAATCCATAAATGGTGGTAAACTGTATTACCAAAACTATAAAGGCATAGGACTATTGTAAAAATTCTACAAGATGTCAACTTTGCTGATGAAATTAGTTGTGAAGAGAGAGGTGTCATTGTGGATTCGGCTCTAGAAAATCTACGATAGACCACATCTTCTGCAATAGAATTATGCTTAAAAAATACAATGAATGGAATGTACGGTAATAACAAGGAGCCTACAATATTAGCAAACAATAACAACTATGAGGGGTTCCCAGAAGGGAGTTGGATGGCACAGGTTGCACCATCAAAAGCTGAGGGTGGCACATTTGTATTGAAATAAGGATTTTCGAACAGGGCACTATTGATGAAGTTATGAATTTTAAGAAACCATATTTTTGTGAGGTTTAATTGAAAATTTTCTGACCAAGGAACAAAGGAAAACTTTTCATAATTTTACTTTCATTTGCATTAGTTTTATGAAGAAGAAAGGAATAAATTTTCTTTTAAGGGGAAGGGCAGATGCTATCATCCTTGGTGGTTGATCATCCCTGTATGTAGTGATTACAGGCAAAACAGCCAATTCATTCTTAGTAGTGTTTGAGAATTGTGAAGAAGCTGCTAGGAAAACAGGAATAGTAACTATACAGATAAAACTAAGCATATGATAATAATTAAGCAAGGTTATTATTACTACTACTAATAATAAGCTTTATTGGCATCAATTGATTTGAAACAAGTCCCCTTTATGAGTAAATTTAATGGAATTGGCTTCAGCATAGAAAACATAAGTTCAAATTATCTCTTCTTTTAAAATAAAACAATACAGAGAATGTTTTCTTTATATAATAATAATGTATGGCATAAGATAAAAAAAAAGGCAAACAAAACAGTCTAAAAGCTCTTTAAATAACTAAATATTATTAGCATTGATGACCTTGATGTTTATGCCTTAAAACTCCAACAAACAAAACGAAAGACTGTTAAACATAACATAAAGAAAAATATATGGCTGAACTAAAGAAGCAAATCTTTGGTGGGTGAAGATGATTGGTATGCTGAGAAAACAATTATATTAAACACCTAATATTAGTGATGGAGAAGGACAGGTTTTAGGTCTAATTGGAAAAGATTTGTTGAGTGAGAAAGCCATCATCATAGCGTCATTGGATGATGATATTAAAAAAGTTTTAAAGTATTAGCAACATGGGTTTTCTATACTTCAAATTGTTGTAGATCACTTTTTCCATTTCCACTTTTTATTTTAATTCAATTAAAAATAATTTTCAAGAGATCAGAGCACTATAGCAACTTCTTTCAGCTGTAATATTCAGACGTTTTAGACTAATCGTTGTTTTTTAGTACAAAGTATTAATGTTATTTGTATAATATACAATTCACTTTTCAATTAAAATAATAATAATAGAAGTGCTGGTTGTTTAGTTACTTTTTTCAAGATACATTTTTTATCTCACTTTCCAGGGGGCGCCACCCTCCCTACACCTTTTTCCTGGTCTTAATTGACCTGTATCAAACTTTAGAAGAATATTGTACTGTCTTGATTCATTTATCTCTTGTTTTCTTATGAACAAAAGTTCTTAAATGTATTTGTTTTTAGAGATTTCCATTTGCTACTCAGACAGATTTGCTGGATTTATTTCATCCTAAAGAACCTGTATATGATAGGGAATTAGTCATAAACAAGAAGAATAGTTTCAAAGAAAGAGAGCTACAAAAAAAAGAAAAGAAGGTATCTCTTTTTAACTGTGTTTAATTTAGTAAAATTTTATCTGCTTTGTCTTTAAAATCTATTATTTAATATATTTTAGAAGGATGTCATTATAAAATGTAATAGGCCTGAGTTTAATCACTACAAAAATCAGAAATATGAAAAATTGAAAGCTATTCCTCTGGCATCCAAAGGATGGCACCACTCCAAGTCTAATGGTGATCACTTTTCAATTCGTATATTTAATGAGGTATTGTTTATAGTATTCTCTTATTAAATAAGTAAAATACTTGTGTAAATAAATAATGTAGTGTGATGCTAATGATTTTTTAGGACTATAATATAAATGATCATTTTTGGGAAGAAAGTGTTGATAACTTCAATGCATTAAAATTAGATGATCTCTTAATCGATGCTCTAGAAAGACTTGGTTTCAGCCGCCCAACAAAAATTCAGGTTTGTCTAAGTTAAAATAGATTATTAATATTACCATAATTAGAAAACAAAGATATATTATATTTAAGTAATTAAAAACTATTATTGATGTAGAGATGGTTGACTGTTGATATAATATAAGGAGTTGATCGGGGGAGGGGAGGGAGAGGGAGTGGGAAAGGGGGCAGCGGTCAAATAAATACTAAATTAAAAAAATAGTATTATTTAATTTTTGCCGACGTTTCGACCCACTTTGCAGGTCTTCATCAGGGCGTAGGATGTAGCACTGTGTTTCAACTGCCTCCCGCAGTGTTACATCCTACGCCCTGATGAAGACCTGCAAAGTGGGTCGAAACGTCGGCAAAAATTAAATACTATTTTTTTAATTTAGTATTTATTTGATCGCACCCCTTCTTATAGAAAACTATTATTATTTATATTTTTTAAACAATTATTTTATCTGAGGGCTGAGAACTTACTAATTCCACTTGAAGGATCTGAGATGTATTAAGTGATATAGCTACAATTTATAAAAATCTGGTGCGTGCAACACAAAACTGTCACTTACCGCTCTACTTTGAATATAAATTATTTGTTGGCAATGTTGGGCTATCATAAAATTTTTGAAGTACATTTTAAGCGGAGCTAAAGCTTAAAGCTTACAGGTAACAAATCAATAAGACCATTAAAAGAACGAAAACCCTATTTATTATATCGATGGTAGGCAATAAAATCCTTGTTACTACATCTGTTATTATATACTAAACCACATAACTCTGAGCTATATGTGCCTTTCAGTTGCCAGAATGACTAACTCCAATTTCAAAAATGTTTAGTATTGTCACGTAGGATTGAGCGCCCTACTCACATATCTTTAGTTCACCAAACACCACAAATAGTCATGGATCTCCCTAAGGTAAAACGCTCATTATCCGGAAGTAAACTAGTCCCCCGTTCGGGTCTCCGGGTGGGGACTGCTTTAGGGAATTCATGGCGCAAGCTGAAATATAGGGATTTAAATATTGGTACGTGGAACGTAAGGAGTTTAAACACAGCAGGGGGGCTAAAATCGGTCGCGAATAAGGGAAATGGGTACAATTTGGATGTCGTGGCTCTGCAAGAGGTTCGCTGGCCAGTGGAGGGCTCGATGAGGGAAGGAAAGTACACTATTTGGTACGGAGGAAGCGGGAATCATTGTTTGGGTACCGGGTTTCTAATTAGGAGTAGATTACTATCCGCTTTGAGGGACGTACAATTCTTTAGTGATAGAATTTCGGTAGCTACATTTCAGGAACATTGGTTTAAAATTGCATTAATAAACATACATTGTCCGACCGAAGACAGTGACGATGAAGTCAAAAGTGAATTTTACGATAAACTCGAATGGGTTTATGATAAACTACCGCGAAACTACATGAAAATAATTATAGGTGACGCGAACGCAAAGGTAGGAAGGGAAGAAGTTTATATCCCAACGATTGGTAAAGAAAGCTTGCACGAATATAGTAATGATAATGGGATCCGTCTGATAAACTTTGCCATCTCGAAAAACCTGATAATTAAAAGTACGACGTTTAAACATAAGGATATTCATAAATATACTTGGACATCGCCGGATTCGCAAACACGAAATCAAATTGACCATGTCTTGATACAACATAGCTGGCAAAGCAGTATAATTAATGTACGGTCTTATCGCGGAGCAGAATGTGGGTCGGACCATGAATTAGTAATCGCGGAACTTCGACAAAAACTTAATATAAAAAAGAGAAAAGAAAACCGTTTCAATTTTGAGAATTTTAATTTGGACAAATTAAAAAATCCATCAATTAGAACCCAATTCGAGCTAGATGTTAAGAATAGGTTTGAAGCGTTAGAGCTTCCTGACGAGGACCACGAGGATATTGACAAGTTATGGGTAGAGATCAGGGATAATATTAAAGCGGTCGGTAACTTGTGTCTAGGAAAAAAGGAAAATAAGAATAACAAACCGTGGTTTGATGAAGATTGCTTAAACATGTGCGAAAAACGAAAAGCTGCTAAATTAAAAGCTCTAAATAATCCTAGCAAAGACAATCTGGAATACTTCCGAACCTCAAAGAACGAAACGACAAAATTGCTCAAAAATAAAAAAAGGGAGTATCTTAAAAATAAAATAATTGAAATAGAAACTAATAGAATCAAAAATAACGTAAGAGACATGTACAAAGGTATAAACAGATCACGTAAATGTGTAGGGTCCATAACATCTGGAATTAGGGATGATAATAACAATATTCTGACCGATCCGGTTGACATATTGAATAAATTTAAGGACCACTTTGACAATATTTTAAATACGGGAAATTATGATCTGTTTCCTCTTTCTGAGTACCAGAGTGCTGAACCGTTGATAGAAGGACCGAGTAAAGAGGAAGTTGAATTAGCTATCGGAAAATTAAAATCTTATAAAGCAGCGGGAACCGACAATATTCCCACTGAACTAATTAAGGCATGCGGGGAAGCTGGAGTTTCTAAAATACATCGGTTGGTTAAAAAGATCTGGGTGAACGAGAAATTACCTGAAGAATGGAAAGAATCTATTCTTATTCCGATTCACAAAAAGGGTCCGAGGACGGCTTGTAATAACTACCGAGAAATTTCACTCCTTCCGGTATGTTATAAAATATTTACTTTAATCTTAACCAGTCGAATCACGGAATACGCCGAGGAAATTATCGGAGACTACCAATGCGGATTTAGACGGAATCGTTCGACTATTGATCAAATATTTTCTTTACGGCAAATATTAGAGAAAAAATTGGAGTACAACGGTATTGTCTGTATATAGATTTTAAAAAGGCTTACGATTCTATTGACCGCCAGAAACTGTATAATATTCTAATCGAGCAAGGGATTCCTAAAAAATTAGTAAATCTAATCAGGATGTGCTTGATGGAGATACTCAATAAAGTTAGAATCGGTAATAATCTGTCCGAAAAATTTGAGGTTCGTTCGGGATTAAAATAGGGTGATTCCCTTTCGCCTGTCCTGTTCAATTTGGCATTAGAACATGCCATTAGGGAGCTAATGCGTACCGAGAAAGGGTTGGATCTGGGTGGGACAACATCCGTGCTGGGCTATGCCGATGATCTGGTACTGTTAAGCGAAGACCTTGAAACTATAAAACTAAATACGACAACGTTAATGAAAGCTGGTAAAGAACTAGGACTCGAAATAAACGTGGATAAAACAAAATATATGGTTAGCTGCAAAAATGGCGATACTACTGGTGATATCGATATAGATGGTAATATGTTTGAACAGGTAGATAAGTTTAGGTATCTAGGTTCTATGATAACTAGAAAAAAAGAAATTGAAGAAGAAATTAAGGTTAGACTGAAGGCGGGAAATGCTTGTTATTTTTCTGTGACAAAACTACTTAGTTCGCGCCTCTTGTCCCGAAACTTGAAAATTAGAATCTATAAAATAATTATCTTGCCTACAGTTCTTTATGGGTGCGAAACTTGGCCGCTTACATTAAGGGATGAGCAGCGTCTTAAGGTTTTTGAAAATAAAGTATTGCGTAGAATATTCGGACCGAAGAAGGATGAGTTAACTGAAGAGTTCAGACGGTTACACAACGCCGATTTGCGTGAACTGTATCCGAGTAATATAATTGAGATAATTTCATCGCGGCGAATCAAATGGGCTTGTAAAGTTGTTGGACTTAGTAACGAGAGAATTCCTAAAAGGCTAATATTTGCTGTGCCAAATGGTAAGCGTCCGAGGGGTAGACTAGACCGAAGCGAAGGTCGGAAGATTGCATTAAAGCTGATCTGAAGGGACTGGGTTTGGACGGCGAACGATGGAGGGAAGTGTGCAATAAGCGATTGGTGGTGTCGGCATCGAACCTTCGGGTTCGCTAAGCCTTTTTATTATTATTAGTATTGTCATTTTAGTGATATTTCTACTTGGGAAATTTATAATATCTTCGCAGACAATGATTAAGTTGATTTCAGAGTAGGTGATGGCAGTGTTGAAATATAGAACTTTTTTTGCAGAGTAAAAAAAAAATATTGACTATTATATTAAATCAGTTATAATGCATCATAAATCACAAAAATCATAAGAAGCTTCCCGTAAATAAATTTTTGTTATGAAAAAGCAAGATAGATTTGTTTTTAGTGTCCTTTAAAAATTCTTAAATACGAATTTTTATTAAAATAAAAAATTTCAAAATTTAATACTTGGTTTTCTTAGAGGATTTTTTTTTCCGGCCGATAATTAAAGTATTCATAACATCTCAGAATTTTATCCAAATTCAACGTTAGTTCAACTATTGAAAAGCTGAATTAATACTCTTCCAGTCCACATTGATAACTTTAAGAATGCATTCCTTTTAAAATTAGGCATTAAGAAAAACATCCCAATCATTTCTATTTTTTATCTTTAATTCTAATTTGTTTACGGAAATCGATTTTGTACCATTTCATGTAACATATAGAGCTCTAAATACTGATTAGTTTTTTTATGGATTGGTGGAACCATTAAAATTAAGTTTTGTAGTTCTTGTCGAAATTTTGAAGATTCAACCTAGGCAAAAATTTCGTGCAGAAAATTTTAATTTTTCGATTGCCATAAAAATTCGTATTTAAGGGTTTTTTCAGGTACAAAAAAAACTAATATCAGTTTGGTTTCTTCCTAATAAAATTATTTGCTCTAGATACAAGACCCGTTTTTAATAAATATTGTATTTGGTAGATAGCTACAGTATGGGGACACTAATTCTATATTTTCTCCAACAATGTCATAACTTGGTGGGTTTTCTTGTTTAATTTTTTTATGACCATTAGTTTTGTTGTTCCAGTATTTATTGTTTGACCAGCCCTTCTTACCTGCTATCTAAAGTCAGCATAAGCCTCCTCGATTCCTTGCTTAATCAGAACAATATTGTTCAAAATTTATCAAGAAGGTTCGGGGAGTCAATCAGATGAAACATCAACATGGGCTGATAATAATTAATTCAATGTCGATGCTTTGATTTCAGTAAAATTTTAGATTGGCAGGGCTAAAATATGGACAGGTAGCTGACAGTTACAAGTTGTTGGACTAATAGCGTTCTGACCAACTCCTCGACCATTTCCTTCCTGATTTATCATACAGTCAACAACCAATATATATATTATATAATTTATCTTTTTTATTATGTATCTTAATATTATTTTTGTCTCAAGTATGTTTATTTATGATTTATTTTCAGGCGGACAGTATTCCGGTGATATTATCTGGAAAAAACACTTTAATTGCTGCTGAAACTGGATGTGGAAAGACTCTTGCCTATCTGATCCCTGTTATACAACAAATTTTGAAATGGAAAGAGAAATCACCATCTGACAGAAGTCCAAATACCCCTCTTGCTGTTGTTATTTCTCCAAGCAGAGAGTTAGCTGGACAGATAGGAGTATAGATATATTTTTTTATTAGACCAATTATATTTTTTTGTTGGAACTGAAATAAATTTAAAAAAGAAATCTGTAGCATGCATCGCATAAATTTCAGTTAATAATGCAGCAGAGAGAATTATTAAGGAGAAACCAAAAGATTCATAAATTTATTTTTGGTTATAGTTTTTTAGATGAATTTGATCATATACTTTTTTTTAAATAATCGATCCATCAAAATATAATTAACATGATACAATAACTCATCCGTCCTAATTCCAATGGTCCTCTCCTCAGATGATCCATACAGTGATCTTCTGATGACTCTTGACGATGTACATCAGTCCTCCTATCTTTCTATTCATCACTCCTTGGGTCCAATTCCTCAGCTGATCATTGTAAATTCTTGCCATGACTGGCCACCCACTTTAAACTTTCTCAACTTCTATTGCTCTAAATTCTCCTCCACATCATATCTCATCTCTGACTTCTCTTGGTATCTATAGGTCTATTTTCATTTTCAATGTTCTCCTGAATACTCCATTGGACAGTGATCTAGGGGATGTGCCTTTTGAATGCTACAAGATACTCTTTTCTCATAGAGTTCAGAGTTCCTCAGAGGCAAAGTTCCCTCTTGATCTCATCAAATAAACTGGTAGGTACAAAATCAAATTGAAATGAAATAAAGTGCTCTCATCGTGGTATTTTTCCTATATTGATCAATTGATGGATTGATATGGTCTTGAAAGCGTAACTGCATAGTCATGCTGACTTGTGTATACAATTTCATAGTCGCACCCCTGGATGAGCAGAATGTGACTGCTGATTGTAGGCGTTCTGTGGTCTGTAATCAATAATTCAATAAGAATTTTCTACCATAGCAATAAGTAAAAAATTGCTGAAGATGAAAAAGTACTGCAGTTCTTGAACTCCTTCAGTACTGCAAACATTACCTGATGATGACCCACATGCTTGGGTTGAAACATCGACAACAACAATAAATATCTTGATGATATAAAAATGACTATATCCTGACTATTTATCACCTATGATATATAGAACAGTCGACTAACTTTCTTCAATGATGTTATTTTTATTTATTCTTGGTACTATGGTCCTGCAAGAACCTGGGTCTCTCTTATGAACACCCTCCAATCTCCTCCTCAATCCCAGGTGAGCATTCACCATCTTCAGATTCCCATCCTTCTCAGAATGTTCTCCAACTCGTCCAGCCATCTCAGGCATGGTATTTCTCTTCCACGTTTTCCACCAGTTAGATCCTCCAGGTGTCTGGGAAAGGCATCTCTGAGCATTACTCTAAAACAATATTAAATAGAATAGATTCTAAAGGAGGTAGCCCCATCGCCCGGTAATTATACTGCAATTAGCCACTAGTCCTCCAGGCTGGAGGAACACTTACACTGACACACACAGTATACTAAAACAATGCATTGAACATCAAGATCATCTTCAGTAAACACCCCAGAATCTTCTCCTTTGGTGGCCACGGATGGGGGAGCAAGTTAGGATGCTCTGAGGAGACAATATCTCCACCTGACTCAGGGACAGTGGGCTAACTATCTGTTTCCTTTAAAGCTTATCATATTATGTATCTCTTAAGGAAAAGTCGCACAAAAGTCTTTAGTGAATGGCCTAAGTGAGTCAAAGGACAGTTAGCGTTGATTATTGATGTTATACCAGCTAATTTGTTTAGATAAGGTTTCCACGAACTAGTTAAAATATTGCAAAATCTAATAATAAGCATCTGGCAGGAAGAAAAGATGTGACATGAATGGCATAGGTTATTGTCCCATTCATTAAAAAGGGTATCACCTGGCTTGCTCAAATTATTGAGAAATCTCCCTTCTCTCTGTGGCATAAAAAATTCTCTAATATTTTATATGAAGAGGCTACTATAAATATAGATTCCGACCAAGAAGGTCTAAGACTGATCAAGTGTTTGGCTTTAGCCAGATCTTAAAACAGGTCAGTATTCACTACCCACCATCTATTCTTAGATTTTATGAGTGTATGTGATACTTTACCATCTATACACACTAAATGGATGTTCTCAAGAATTTTAATCTGAAGCTGGAGTGCACCAGAGAGAAGAACTTGCGTGTATTTAGTTTAATATTGGGTTGGAGAGAGCCGTGAATTCAGAAATGTAGAATATAGACTTTTGACACAATTCCGAAAAGAATTGTTAAAATTCATGGGTATGCTGTTGACCTCGACACAGTAAAAGAAGTGTTCTTTGTATTTGAATGTGCTGCAAAGAAAATTTGATTCCTCATCAAAGCATCCAAGACAGAGTTACAGGATCACAGGATATGGTCACAGGATAGCCTGCATCATCAGGGGAGGTGACTCGATTTTGAGCATACACATTTGAAAAAGTGGATCGTTTTAAATACCTTGAATGCATTGTGAATTATAATAATGGTATTGGTGCCAAATAACTGCTTCTATTTATTTGCAGTTTGGAGGAATTTGTTGTGAGGGCTCCTTGGGATAAAAGATTAAACCAGTTAACCTATAGTTTATATAATGATCCTGATATTGCAAGTGCAGGGTGGGTCATGTGTCAATGATGTTGGACCTAGAGATTATAAAAAAGATCCTATAAAAAAAAAATTGGGACTGTACGGCTGAAACTATAGTGTGAAAATAGAGTGGTCCTATATAATAAATAGTGGTGTCGAATCAATACTTATTGGGGGGGGGACAGCACCAACATGATTGGCTGAAATTTATTTGGAGGGCATGATTCAAAAGCGGATAGTAGGGCCCAGAAAGAAGCAATGCTGTTACTGATGGAATGATTTCCGACGAAGGAACTATTGGTAGCTTTTCAGTATTTTATTTTTACAATATCACTCAGAATGGCATTAATACTAATAATATAATTCAATCTTGATATAATTTAAATTCTCAATTACTGTTTTTCTGTTCTCAGTATGCTGCAAAGGAGCTTTCCCACCATTTGCCTTTCAGTAGTCATGTACTGATAGGGGGCAGAACAAAACAGAAAATGTTGTCTCCAGAATTTAAAAATGTGGACTTGCTTGTTGCTACATTAGGAGCTTTAAGTAAATTAACAACAACAGGTGATTATTTTAATTTAAAAAAAAAAGTTTCAACTAAAGAACTCTTAATAATTGATTAATACAAAGTAATATATCGCTATATAATTCTAATACAAGAGGTTAATAAGAAACTGCTTAATTTCATGGCTTATGACCTTCTTCTTATAAGTTATAGCATATTTGAAGCTCAGAAAGTCTTAAAATCATATATATATATATATATATATATATATAATGTGTTCATGGTTTCTGTCTAAATTACGCATGAACAAATTCTTCCAGTTGGCTACCTAACTCATTATTTTACTTAATATTACAGAGATACTTCTCTAATTTTATTTACTTTTTCAAATGGAGTGTTATATTTTAATTATAAAATCCACCATACCTTTCTTTGTTGCCTTAGTCATTTTAATAATAAGACATTGATTGACTTTTTCTTTATTCCACATTATCCAGTAAGAAAGTTTTAAAAAGTAAATTAAATATTCCATAAATTAATTTCCATTTCAGGAATATATAACATGGCCGAAGTGAGACATTTAATTTTAGATGAATCTGATACCTTGCTTGATGACAGCTTCAATGAGCTACTCTTAAGATATCTTAAGAGATTTAAGGTAATAATGTTTCCCCCATATCTTGTTTATATAGTTTAGTTTTTGGTTAACTTGCGGTGTGTATATTTTTATTCTTATTAGTAGATTAATAAAACAGAGAAGTTATCAAATGATTTAAATTGCATGCTAAAGAAGGGTTTTTATTAATGGAGATATAGAATTCCAATTCCACCATTTAATTTCACAGATAATTTTACTGTTTCTGAAAAAAGGTCTTTAATCTCATTATAATCTAGTACAAAAACTGTTAACTAAAAATTGAAAATTGAATTAGCTGGTTTTGGAATTCTACACCAAAATTTATATAAATTTCAATGAATATTTAGTAATATATTACAATTTCAAATTATCAAAATGGTCATGTTTGCAATATTTTATTTGTAGATTAGATACACAGCTGACCATAAAAATAATAAATTTGGATGTCAGTTAATTCTCGCTAGTGCTACTTTTCCAAATAAACTTGATGATCTGTTGAGTGAATTTGTTGAGGTAAATATAAATTTTCCAAAATTAAAAAAAGTAATAATTTAAAATTTATATTTCAAAACTACCTCTATTTCAGCCTGGTTCGTTGAAAAAAGTAACTTCAAAATATTTACACAGGTTTCTTCCTCATGTTCCACAATCATTTTACAGACTGGGGCCTACTGAAAAAGCAACTAAGATTCTTCAACTTGGTAAACAAGCTCTGAAGAATGAAGAACCTACCATGATATTTAGGTATCATTAAAAAAAAAATTTGTTTGGCGTTAACTGAAATTAAAAAAATATTCATTATTCTTTTGTTTTATTCTTATGTAAAGAAATTTATTAATTTTATATTTTTCTTTGTTCAGTAATAAAAGTTCAACATCAGATTGGATTTCACTTATGCTAAATGAAAATGATGTTCCAACTGTACATTTAAATGGTGAAATGCCTATTTTATTACGAAAAGGAAGATTTAATCAATTTCGTAATAAGAAATTTTTGATTCTATCCTGTACTGATATTGCATCAAGGGGAATGGATACGAAGCATGTATGAATGTTAATCATCTGTTATATTTATTTTTATTTATTTATTCATTATTATTAACACAGGTGTGCAGACTTTTCATTCTGGTTGGGAGGGAGGGGTAGTGATGGAGTCCTCTCCTAAAAAGTCTAGGGAATTATATTATATATATATATATATATATATATATATATATATATATATATATATATATATATATAAGTTAAGCGTCTCCGGGCTTTAAAAATAAAAAAAAAGAAGGAAAGAGGAACGAGAAACAATACTCACGGCTTCTGAATAAACACTGCTTTATTCGTCCAATAATCTGCCTTATATACAATCGCTATGTTTATTTACATTACAAGATGGTATTAAGGCTGATATCGCCAGTCTCCGGTCTTTATCTCCCCCCCACCAGTTTACGAATAGGATTTTCGGAAACTTATAAATTCCCAGATCGGAGCCACCGGTATCAGCCTTACCCCTTTACAATTATTTGTACCAGTATAAACTTAAAGTACACCAAACCTCACTTCCACTCCGCTGGAACGAGAAATAAATAAAAAGAAATAAACCACAGAAAGTAAACACACAACGTCTTATTAACAATGGAACAGAACTCTTAATCCTATAAAAATTACAATCACCTCTATTATGCTGCCATATCTTTATTTACAATAACAACAAAAATAATATAAAAAAAATGACATCATCAACAGTAATAATAATAACAAAACATATTTTTTTATAATACGCGATAAGGGTACTACGAATCAATTGGTTTCTGTACCGGTTCTAACATTGGGAGCTTCAATTGTTCAATATGAACAGTTCTCCTCTTCTTAGGTTCGTTAATGCTTTCAATGGTTACCAGATTATGCTCCCTAATAGCAACCACTCTGAATGAGCCCTCGTACCGTAACAATTGTTTCCCTCTGTTGGTTCCAATTCTACGATACACTATTGTTCCGATTTTTAATTCTCCCATTCGGTCACGTACCTGCACATTCTGCCGCGCTACCCGCTTCTCCTTTTCCCGCTTAATTCTCCCCGCTACCTTCCCCCACGTCTTTCCTACCTCTACCCTGGTATTCTGGATTTGCTCTACGAGATGTTCATTGGTCGTTGTTTCCCCCCAATCTCTCCTTGGCCTGCGCATCCCGAATAGTATTTCCACAGGTGAAAACCCCGTTACGGAGTGGATCGAATGGTTGTAAGCTGTTACGGCTTTCTTCATCGCAACATCCGGCTCCAACCCTTTCTCTCCCTGATATACACGGATGTGGTCACTCAACGTGCTGTGCAAGCGTTCGATTCCTCCTCTACCCTTAGGGTGTCCCGGTGTGTTATAATGCCACACAACCTCTAACCTTTTCACCTCCTCCCTAATCGCGGTATTGTCGAATTCTCTACCACCGTCTGATGTGATCCTCTCGGGAACTCCGTAAAACTGTATCCAGATTTGTAGGGCTTCCGCAACTGCATTGGCAGACTTGTCCATGACCTGATGTGCCATAGCTACTTTACTAAAGGTGTCGATGATCGTGACCCACTTGAACCCTTTCCAGGTGAATGTATCGATCTGGAGGTCTTGTAGCGGCATATTCCCTGTAGGTGTCTCTTCCTGAACTCCTCTGGGGGGGTGTCGATCATACTTTGTGCGCATACATACCTCGCATTTCCCGATGATTCCTTGGATAGATTTTTTCATTCCCCACCAGAAATACTTTCGCCGTAATGCCTGCAACGTCTCGTTGACGCCTCGGTGGTTGGTCTTCCCCTGGTGGTATGCCAATGTAATTGCTTGTTGCTGCTCCTCATCCTGTACGGTTTCCACTGCATACTTGCACCGGATGATCGTTCTATCCATGCCTATCCGCTCGGATCTCCACATCCGCTTTATTTTCTCCCATACCGTGTTGTTCCCAACATAGAGATGGTGTGTCTTTCCCGGTTCCGTGGCGTCCTTCAGTGCCGTACGGATTTGCTCCTCGCTCACCCCGGGTTGCGACCAAATGACGCGAATCCTACTTTTCCCGTATCTTCGGTAATCTATTTTCATGATCCCTGTTGTCCTGGTTTTCCAGATTACCTGTCTATGCTTGTCGTTGATGATTTCGTCTATTTCCTCCATCGCCTCTGGTCTTTCCTCCGCTGAGCTATCTTCTTCCGGGGACCCCTCCCTGTCCTCTATACTGACGGTATCATCTGCCCCTTCACCCTCAGGAGTCCATTCCCTCAAGAATTGGCGCACGTCCCGCGATGGACCTCCTCCGTCCTCTTCTACCGCGTTGATCATGATGGCCCTAGAGAGCCAGTCTGCCACCACGTTTTCCTTTCCCGGCTTATACACCACCTCCATGTTGTACTGACTAAGGAATTCTTTCCATCTCGTGACCCTCGCAGAGGTTTCCTTAAGTTTTCCTACCCACTGAAGGGGTTTGTGATCGGTGTGGACTCGAAACTTCCTCCCAAATATATATGGCCTGAAATGGTCGATGGCCCACACTATCGCGAGTAGCTCCCTCTCTAACGCGCTGTACCGTGATTCCGCGCTCGTAAGTCGTCGGCTCGCGTATGCTATCGGACGTTCACCCTCACTTCTGCCCTGGGATAAAACGGCCCCCAACGCGTATTCGCTCGCATCGGTGGTGACGTTGAACTGCTTCTCAAAATCCGGGAACGCCAATACGGGTTCTGCCTGCAACCTATCCATGCATTTCCGAATATTATTTTCCATTTCCGGTGTCACCACGATCCTCGCGCCTTTCTTCAGCAAGTTATTGATAGGTACCAAGTATTCTGCCATCTCAGGTACGAATCTCCTATAATAATTCAGCGTCCCGAGAAGCCTACGAATCCCTTTAACGTCCCGTGGCACCGCCATTCGTGTGATAGCCTCCACCTTTGCCGCATCCGGTCTGACCCCCTCGCTAGAAATAGTGTGGCCTAAAAAATTGATTCGCGTTTGTCCCAACAGGGACTTCTCACTTGACAGTTTCAGCCCGAATTGTCGCAGCCTTTCGAATACCGACCTCAAATGCCCCACGTGTTCGGCTTCCGTTCTGCTAAAAATCAGCAGGTCGTCCATGTATACTTGACATACGGAGTCGTCGATCCCCCTCAGAAATTCGTCCATCAGGCGTTGAAACGTTATGGGCGCATTCTTCAGACCAAACGGCATTCTGGTGAATTCGTAATGCCCCCTTTCGAATGTAAACGCCGTCTTATGTTGGTCCTTCGGGTGCATCCGTATTTGGTGGTATCCCGCCTTGAGGTCCAACGTGCTAAACACCACGGCCCCACTCAACCTATCAAGTATATCTTCGAATCTAGGGATCGGGTACTTTTCGTCTACCGTGTTGTCGTTCAACCTACGATAGTCCACTACCACTCTGTATTTTTCCTTATTATCCCCCGGCGCTGCCTTCTTTTTCACTGCCCACAGGGGACTATTAAATGGCGAGGTGCTATCGACTATGATCCCTTGCTCCTTCAGGCTTTCCAATTCCTCCCGAATATGCTGCCTCATCGCCTGCGGGTATCTCCTTTCCTTTACGTAGGTCACCCTATCTTGCTTCAGTGGAACTTCGTGTACCGTCTTCCCTGTTACCCCCAATACCTCGCCCTCCCTGAAGAAAATATCTACGAACTCCGCTTGTAACGCCTTTCTCCAGTCCTCCACCCTGTTCACCGCTCCTATCCGCACCCTTCTTTCTCTCGCGACCCCTATACATCCAAATTTCCTCTTTCCCAGCCTGATACTCCAAGCTCCTCTACGGTTTCTAATGCTTACCCCTACCTGTCCTAACAGATCACACCCTATTATGACTTGGTACTCCCGCGCCATGCTCTCTACCACATGCACCCTTAGCTCCCCCTTTTTCCCTGCCCACCGGTCAAGCGTAATTGACGCTTCCCCTTCTACTTTACAGGGACCACCCAGAGTGATTAGCTGGCAGCCACAGTTTTGTATCCGGAGTACCCTCTCGCTCCCGCACACTCTCCCCAACGCCCCCCGAGTCAAGATAGTACTCGAGCTCCCTGTGTCCACGAGACACTTCACTCCCCCATCTACTTCAATAATCGGCAACCAGCATGGCTTACCTCTAATATTGTTGCAGGTTGCTGTGCGGTCGCCTCTCTGCTGACACCCTTCTCAGATGCCACCTCGCTTCCTCCTTACCGCCGTCGCTCGTCGTTGCTCGCTCCGTTGGCTGCTCCTGCCTCCTTCGCCTCCACTGCTGGCTGGCTCGTCAGTCTCCGTTCCCGACGTCCCCGACTCCTCGGTTGCCTCTTCCGAAGATCCGTCTCTCTGCTGCATCCTAGCTCGTTTTTTCAACTTTTGAGCGTTCACCTCCATTGGCTCGTCTAGAGGTCTCTCTCTCCTGCGAAACATGTACGGGCACTGTCTGGCAATATGCCCTTCAGTCCCGCACTCGAAACATCTAGTGCGCGGACATTGTGCTACCAAATGTCCCGGTTTCCCGCACCCGTGACATTTTCGGTCTTCCCTCCGGGGTCCATTCCTAGGCCTGGACTGTCCGGATCTTCTCTCGCCCGTCGTGGCTTTTTCTCCGTTCGGGTGTTTCATTTCCCTCTTCCTCCACCCTATATGGGCTGTCCGGGGTCGTCTGTCACTCACTCGGGTCCACCCTGGTTCTTCTACTTCCATCCGCGTCTCTTCCTCTCTTGCACTCAGATCTATCATTTCTTGGGCACACTCGAGGAACGATCGCTCTCTAGGCAGTCCGTCCCTTCTCCCAGTCTCCTTAGCCAACTGAACCTTGAGTATTGTCGAAAGGAATTCCATCCTAGCCTCGACCTCTCCCACACTCATGGTTTCACGCATTTTCTCAGTTATGCGGTTGTACTTCGCCACTAGTACCCCCGCATACTGTCCTCTTGTTTGGCGTTGGGACCGACACTCCCTAAACATTTGGAAGATATCTTCTTCCGGCGTCCATCGGCCCCCTCCGAAAGCCTTCTTCAAACGCTCCTTAATCACTGGCCATGGTGTCTCCTCGTCCGCTTGGATTTGGTTGAGGATGTTCCTCCTCACTCGGCACACGAGAGCTGCCTTCAGTGCTTCTGCGTCTCCCAGGTTCACGAGGTCCTCCGCCACCTTTGCTTCGATTCTTGATATGAGGCGGTCTCCGCCTTTCAGGAAGTGATTAAGTTCACCTATCTCGCCCCCGAATCGCTCCAGGTCTGCGATTGCTCTCCGTAGATCCTGCGTGGTCGCTGCCCTTATCTTCATCCACTCCAATGCATTGGCATGCGCCTCTGCCAATGTGTCCCTAGGTAAGGGAGGGATCTCTTGTATCTGCGGTACTTGAGGTATCTGAGGTATCTGCGGAATCTGCGGAACCTGAGGGGCGATCTGAGGAATCTGCGCTATCGGCATTTCCTGAGGTTGCGGCATTTCAGGTGCGTTCAACACTCCTGGTCGAATTATGCCCTCTGTCGGCATCTCGTCTTTTCCTTATGACTAGGAGAAGAGAAAAAAAAATTAAAATAAAGACAGAAAAAAAAATTTTACTTCCGTGTTCTCCTGACGTTCTCCCGGGTTTCGGCACCAGGTAAGCGTCTCCGGGCTTTAAAAATAAAAAAAAAGAAGGAAAGAGGAACGAGAAACAATACTCACGGCTTCTGAATAAACACTGCTTTATTCGTCCAATAATCTGCCTTATATACAATCGCTATGTTTATTTACATTACAAGATGGTATTAAGGCTGATATCGCCAGTCTCCGGTCTTTATCTTATATATATATATATATATATATATATATATATATATATATATATATATATATATATATATTAAAAATAAATTTATATACCTGTATATTAGTACTATTTTTTTTTGGATGGGTAAATTTGAAAATATGTTAACAAAGCATTTAAATACATTACATATTTGTATTTAAAGTTTGGAGGCAGTGAGATGAACTCTCTCAATTCTTTGATATTTCAAATTTGTGACCGGAAATGTAATAAAATCAAAAATGGAAGGGTGCATATGAATCAATCATAAAATCCATAGAAAATGTTGCCACATATAATCATCTTTGAATATAAACTAAAATTTCAATAACAGAAAAATATAAATAAAAAACTTTCATATCTGCGCCTTAGCTTAGCTATCTAGTCGACTTTTCTTAATTGATTTTAGGTTATATATTTTACTCATTCATTGTTATTGATTTTGACTTTATTTTTGTTACTCGAAATATTGGATGGGGAAATATTCTCTTCACCTATATATTTTTATTGGAGGAGCGATTGCCCAACTGGCTCCTGGGAAGTCTGCACCTACAATTATTAATGAATTAGAGTATCAATATCTGTTGTTTTTTTTTAAGGTTAAACATGTTATTAACTATGATTTCCCTATGTATATGGCTGATTATATACATCGTTGTGGAAGAACTGGAAGATGTGGAAGTTCACATGATTGCCATGTTACAAATTTTATTTCAGGAAAACGTGAAGTTGAACTTGTAAACAAAATTGAGGTATTAATTATTAATTAACTTGGATTGTTTAAATTTTATAAAACAATTCTTGCATTCTTCTTTTATCTATATCTTTAATTTGTTTTAGTTGGCTGTAAGAACAATGGATGTCTTGCCTGATGTCAACGGGAATATTACAAAAATTATTGAAAATAGGATAATTAAAAACAGTAGTAGTAAATGAAAAAAAAAACTGTTAAGAATAATCTATTAAATATAAAGCAGACTTTTTAATTTATTGCATTTCTCTTTCACTGTATTTACTATGTTTCTTAGCAATCATACATACCTATAGAATTTCTTATTAATTTCCTGAAAAGTATTTTCTATCTAAAATTCCTTAATAATTTTATTTTATTAGTCAACATACCAAAATATATAATTTTTAGTGCAGTAAAAGAAGGGAAAAAAATAGTCAAAACCCGAACATCCAAAAACAAAATCTGAAAATTGTCATAAATTATCTGTTACTCTCTCCATAATTAGTAATAAAAATCCTGAACATTTCTTCATCAGATTTGATGAGGATGGAGGACATAAACATGATTTTTTTTAGGGAAGTGAGTATATCACAAAACTATTAGGTTTATCAATACAATTATTTTTTTACCAAACTCCCATTTTTAGAATATTTTATTTGCTGCTGATTTAGCCCGAGCCAGATACCTATCCTTTCATGATAAACTCCATTCCCATCTGAATCCACTAGTTTTCAGCCTTGGTTCTTCCTTGATTCCTGATAATCCTCCTAGGCGTCTGAAAAGGATATGGCCTCGTGATCTTCTTATGTAGAATTATTTAGTGAGTGATACACTGGGTAGTATCTTATCAAGCCTGTTCATGTCATTATTTCTAATTTGTGCATATTTACTAGTTGGATTTGTATACAGTTGTAAATTTCATTAAATGAACCAAAAAAAAAAAAGTCCTGTTAGAGAACATCAATAAAAAAAAAAAAAAAAGCTTAATTTTACACTGTTATAATGAATGTAATCAAAATCGTTGAAGCCGTTTTCGAGATAATAGTAAAAATATGTTTCATCAATGATATAACTAAGATTTGAAAATTGTCTCTGCAATATTGTTCCTTACTATATACTTTATATATATTGTAATGTAAATATTGCATAGCGATTTTGAATAGTGGCTCGAAAGTGGTGACGTCACGAACTACTGACAGGAATGACAGATGGTGGGGGAAGCAAGTTCCATATGTTAGGTCAGAAGATAGCCAGTCGGCTAGTATAGAGAAGAAAATGTTATTTAACAAAGAGTGAGTGTCTACAAATAGACGAAGACAAGAAAATAATAGAACAAGAGAAAGTTGTAGAAGTTGGATACAATACCGAGGAAGACTCACTGCAGAACAGAGTGAGTGAAATATAAAGAGACAGTTCAAAAGCGAGCCAGGAATAGACCCCGACAAATTTAATGGAAATTCAATAAAAGTGCTGTATAATTAATGTATGCTTCTATATTGTATAATTGAGGGTGTGTGTAAGTTGTCTCAACCCAACCTGGAATTTAATTATTGTGTGAAATAAATATTATTTGATTAAGAAACACTGTTTTATTTACTTTTCGAAGGGAACGTAACCTTACAACATATATTGTAATATGCACCTTTATTGGAAGTGGGTAAAAATGATTTAATAAATTAATGTTGAACAATTAAAAGCTAGCTAATCTAGTTCTACTGGTAAAGGAAAAAAAAAAAAAAAAAATGGCTGCTCTGTAGTTTCCCAAGAAGGAAAATCCCCAAGAGGGGAGGGACAAAGGTTTTTGTTTTGGCAAGAGTAGTTGATGTTTGGCTGGAGTGTAGAGAAGATAGAAGAAGGAATCCTGGCTCCAGTGGGTAAAATCCAGTAATAGTATTACCACCTTGGAAGTTGTTATTTGGCAGGGAGAACAGTTGTTTGGAATTGCTTGGGAGATGATTTCCCAGAGAGCTTGAATTGAGTGGAAGAATAGTGTTACCATTTTGGGATATGTGTTTGACAGAACATAAGAAAATGTGTGAAGACAAATGAGTTCAGTGTCACAAAGGAAAAAACATTTTATGTAGAAAAAAGATTAGCTTGTCAATTCATACGTGACTTTATTTTTAAACCAGTATTTAATTTTAATATAAATAAAGGAAGGAGATGGTCCGGGGTGGCGGTCATAAATAGGCTAAATAGTGGTAAAACTATTTTATTGAAAGCCAACGTTTCGACCCGACTTTGCAGGTCTTCATCAGGGAGGTGTGTTCATCTAGGAGTTTCACTTAGAACTTTCAGTTGAGCACACCTCCCTGATGAAGACCTGCAAAGTCGGGTCGAAACGTTGGCTTTCAATAAAATAGTTTTACCACTATTTAGCTTATTTATGACCGCAACCCCGGACCATCTCCTTCCTGGGTCTTTATAATGCAACGGTCAACTATTAAATATTCAATTTAATATAAATAATAATACTTTGTCTGAGTTGATCTGATTGTCAGTAACCCACACCCGAGATAAATAAATATATTAAAACTCTTATAATTTTTTTTTTTTTTTAACAACCTCTTATTTCTTTTGGAAGTAACCTAAGGGTATAAAGTGATCTTCTGAGGTTATATTATTATTATTATTTTAAAATATAAGAGGGATGTAACTATATATATATATATAGATAGATAGGTAAGTGAAAGTAAAAAAATCGATTGATGTATAATGTATAATAACTTAAAAATCCATGTATAATAACAAAAAAAGAATATACAAACTTTTATAAATTTTATTTTTGCTCCCTAGGGCATTAACAAGAACCCTCAAACTAATATGGGTCTTATATTTTTTGACCTAGTATCACCAAAGAAATTTTCATTGAAATAGATGACCCCATGTCCGTTATCTCTCTTTTCAGTTTAAACATTTTTTTTATTTCATCATTTATTTTAGACACTGAAACAGTTTCAAGTGAGTTATTCATGGAATTAATAGATTTATAAAATGACAGGGATTTAAGAAATAAATTTCAAAATTATGATATACTTTATTTCTAATAAAATTAAAGGGTTTTTGAAAAATTCTAGCATAAGCAAAAGAGAAGTAATTAATTCAAGAAAATAATTAAAGCGATCTCCAACCATTGTAAGAACGTTTTTAAAATCTATTTATCCATTTATATATATATTAATACTAATATTAATAATGTATTAAATGAATAATATTATATGGAATGTGCCTAATTTAAATGACTGTAGCAGAACAAGAATATGTAGTTAGAATGAAAGCCACTAGAGACCGCTAGTAAAACAGCCGATTCTACTTCCATAAACTCCTAATTGTGGGAAGGTTATGTCGAAAAATCATAAGATATTTTACTGTCAATTTGTTGTTGATCAATAAAATTAGTTGATATGTTAATTATAGCAAATCAATATTATCTTTGACAATTGAAATTTGTAAACTCAAGAAAATGTTTACTTTTAATTTTTTAAAAAATGAAGATAATGGTTTACTTACATTTATTTGTTTTGCATATTTATGTTTATTTATTGAACCTTAAAAATCTGTTGCTTTTGTCTATTTTAGAAGATTCGAATGAAGGAAATTCTTGTGGGTTATCTGTTGAAATCAAACCTTCTGGAAAAGAAATAGAGCAGTTTACTGAAGGTTTAACAGGCTGTTCCTATAAGTTTGGAAATAATATAGAGTTAAAGTCTCTTCCAAAAAATCACATTAAAAAAAACTTAGAAAATGATGTTGACTTGAGTATAAAAGAAGCTGAAGAATCACATTCAGATTTAGTTTCTGGAGTATATGAAGGTATCACTTCATACAGTATATTTCAAATGGTGTTCTCTTACAATTGATTTTATTACAGCTGGTTCAACTTTTATAGGTGGTCTTAAAATTTGGGAGTGCACTTTTGATTTAGGACATTATTTAACTCGTCAAACGTCAAGTTATTGTTTTGAACACAAGGTTGTTTTAGATCTTGGTTGTGGTGCTGGTTTGTTGGGTATCTTAGCATGCAAGCTTGGTGCCATCCAAGTTGATTTTCAAGATTATGTATGTATGTTTAAACTTATATTAGAATTAATTTTATTTTTATTCGTAATATGTGGAAATTTATGGAGCATGAAATTGTATTTTTAAAGCAAGTAAAGGATTATGTCAATAAAACAATCCCTATGCAAAATTAATTTAAGAACTGTAATTTTCTTTGTAAATTATCTCCAATGAAATGCTCTTATTTTGGGGCTAAATTTATTTATTTTATTATTAAAACTTTTTGTGAAAGAAACATTTATGCTGCTATGGAAAAAGTAAATTTCCTTCATGATTTATACATTCAGGATCATATCTAAGTATTTGTGGCCATTGCATATTTAATTTCTCTAGATCTGCTATGTTTTTGGAGTTAATTGATTTTTGTTTGTAACTCCATTCTTATATATCTTTTTTATCCAACAGTTGTTGACTGGAACTATTAGAATTAATTTTAAAAATTGAGATAAATATTTTTTATTAATATTTATATATTTTTTTCAGAATGCTGGTGTCATTAAACACTTAACAATCCCAAATATATTATTGAATTTTTCAGAAATTCCTAAAGTAAGATTTTGGTATGGAGATTGGGGAGGTTTTAAACAAGCATGTTTTTATGATGTCATTTTAACATCTGAAACTATTTATCAACCTAAGGCGTACTTAAAACTTCATGAACTTTTTAAAAACTGTCTTAAACCAAATGGTATTATGTATCCTTTAATAATTTTTATTAATATACTTTTCATGACATAATTTCAATCACCATTTTTAAACTTTTTTTTTTCTCTTTTATTCTAAATCCCTGCACATAGTTTTGATGTATTCTGTTTATCCACCTGATTTTTGGTTTCACGAATATTTTTTGATAACTACTTTTGAACTGATTATTTTAAAATAATGTAGAACACTATTTAATTCTATATGGCTTGGCAATCTTAATCTTTTCAGTTTTTGTAATGAGATACTAATTGGTCAACAAAAGCGGGACTTTTATGGAGTAAAAACATGCTGGTTTTGCTATATAATATGCATTAATAAAAGCAAAAAAATCCATTAACAAAAAAAACTAAAATATATATCTATAAAAAAATTTCAACTTAGAACGAGATTTTAGGAGAAATTAAAATTAAATGAAAACTATGTGAAAATAATGACATCATGGGAGAAACAAGAAATGACAAATAAACATTTTTTACAAATAATAATAATATAATCTAAGGCGCTTGCAATAGGTAACCAAGTTAAGAAACGCCGAGCGTGGTTAGCACTTAAATGGGTACCTCTGATCCCCTCCATGAACTCCTGATATGAGACTCTAGGACGCCCTCGTGGCCTCTTCCCTGTGGGTCGAGCCTCTAATATCTTTATAGCGTCCATGTCCTCGTTCATGCGGCAGACATGTCCTAACCACCTTAATTGCCTGTTCTCCAAGGTGGTTTTGAATTCAGGCACTTCCAGCTGTTCTCTGATTGTTTCATTTCTAATGTGATCCCTCCTAGTTTTGCCCACCGATCTACCTAGGAATCGCATTTCCGCTGCTGTTATGTGACTATAATGTTTGTCCAACATAGTCCAACTTTCTCCGTCGTAGGTGAGTATAGGAAGGTACCCTGGCTTATAGATCTTGGTATTTTTATCCACTTCACGGCAGCTGAGGATACTAGCGATCTGGTGATATACTTGATTCGCTTTAGATATTCTATACGAAATCTCAGCATCTATCTTACCAGCATTAGTAATTATGGTACCTAAGTATGTGTACTCCTTTACTACCTCAAGAATCTCTCCGTTGCAAACCAATTGGACGTCTTCCTCTTCTTCTCTCGCCATAATCATCACTTTACTTTTGGAGTCATTTATTTGCATACCTTTCCTCAGCAGCTCTTCTTCCCATTCTACCAGTGCTTCCTGTAGTTTTCATCTTGGAATCGGCGATGAGCACAATGTCATCCGTATATAAAAAGCTCTGCACGAGGACAGTTCTCATATTCCAGTTTCCAATTGTTGTCCATGCAGTCCGACGCTTGCAGATTTTATGGATCTTGTCCATAAAGTTTATAAACAGGAGGGGGCTTAAACTATCTCTCTGTCTGACTCCTCTCGCAATTGGAAAAGGTTCTGATTCTGTGCCATTTATCCTTACCACTCCAGTGGCTCCCTGGTATGTTGATTTCACGGCCTCAATCAAATCTCCAGGCAACCTAAGCGTTCCAAATTTCTTTCCTAGGAACTGAGTCAAACGCTGCCCTCAGATCAAGAAATGCCAGGTACAGGTTTTTGTTTCTGTCCCAGGCCTTTTCAGCGATAGTTCTAAGAACAAAGATATGGTCCTGAGTCTGCTGGCCTGGACAGAAACCAGCCTGTTCACCTTCCAGCTGTCCCTCCACAATCCGAAGGAGCCTCCTTTCTAATATAGAAGTATATAATTTATAGACCACAGAGAGCAGAGTAATGGGTCTATAGTTATTGCAGTCCGTTGAACTGCCTTTTTTTATGAATTGGAAGGATTATGCTATATTCCAAATCCTTGGGAATTTTCTTTCTATCATATACTTTCTGGAAGAGCTTTTGAAGGACTTGTAAGGAGTTCATTGCCACCATATTTCAAACATTCCAGGGCGATGTCCCGGTGCCTTTCCTGCTTTTAGAGTCTGGATTGCGTCTTCTATTTCTTCTTCTTCTATTACCTCTAGGCTTTCTAGAGTAGAGTGCGCTCGTCGACCCTACCTCCGTGTACTTAAATCAGGAATCGGGATGTGGTCTAGGAGACCACATCTCGCAGTCAAAGATCTGCATGGTCTGTAGTGCCAACCGAAAGAAAAAAAAAATAATATATGATAATAACAAGAAATAATACAAATTTGAAATCAGTAGATTAAGTAAAACAGAAATAATTAAAAAAGATAACTATTTGACAGTAATGCAAGTTAAATGAATATGAAAATAATTATAAAACAGTAGCAAATGAGAAACAAATGTTGTAACATATGTATGTGAATGGGCAAACAAAAATATAGTATGAAACACTTTTTAAAAATTATAATATGAGATTAGTTGAAACTTATAATTAGGCAATTAAAAATTAGCAATGATTGTATTTAAAACTAATTTACAGCAAGAATAAAATAAATTAAACAAAAATGAGTTAGTCATTAACACGTTCTGTATTATAATTAATTAACAGATTCATTTATAGATTTCTTTATGAGATACTTAACCTTCAATAGTTTAAATATTATTTAATTAAAAAAGTTATCTTTCAATTTCAGGCATGATGAGAGCTAATTCTTATGCATAAATTCTGGTTTTCACTCGAAACCTGTTTTAAATAATAGGAAATACTTATTTTATTGGAAAAAACATTTCACTTGTCATCCAATGTTTTGGTAAATTTTAATTTAACTTTACAGCGATGAAATACATCAAATAAAACGTAACCATTATTTTATCTTTCTTTAGTTTAGGCACACACATAGATTAAATGGGAGCCGAAGTTCTTTCTATATTAATTCTAGACTTTAAGCATTAATGGTACTTTTTACTTTCACTTACCTCTATATGAAATATATAGCAAGGGGAAATATTGTGATCATAAAAATTTTCGAATCTCAATTTTCAACGGAAATAAATGTTTTGAGGTCTCCTGAGTCCAAATAACCAAGTCTGTGTGTTTGCGTTACCAAGGTTGTGTGTGTATTTGCTAGGGATGTTACAGCAACATTTTCATCAAAATCGGCTGACCAGAAGTGGCACTTTATATTTTCGGCTCTAACGATATTGATTAAATTCATCATATAAGTGTTAAATTAAGCAATTTTAAATAAAATGTAGTTTTTATTCTGATTTATGTTTTCTAACAGGGCTTAAATGATTAATTTTGAATATTAGCTTCCCTTAAAGTACCTTTAATTTTTTTTATTTGAAACAAATGACCATTTCAAATTAATCTCTAATATAAAAGATAGTTCAATATAAATTATGAAAGAATTTGATAATTAACTAAAGGAGAAATAAGAGATCGTAACGGAGAATAGTTAATTGAGACACTAGAGGAATATGAGCGCACCCAAGCTCGCCTGAAAGATTAGAACACGCTTCCATACATAATATAATAAGGACTCCGACAATATTACGTAAATATACACATGCCGTTTTCATAGATGCTATTGATGGTATTATTAAATATTTAATTGTATAGATTACAGCGATATAAATATTAAAATTTGTATATATAAGGGTACTTATATGATATGTGAGTATTTTATATTAAAATAAAAATACTCACAATGAATTGTAAATCAATATAGCATATGTAATTTTTACTTACACTTACCCTTTGTCTCAAAATATTTATTTCTGCTATGAAGAGGGTGGTAAGTGAAAGTTGTGTGATACGCACACCGCACCAGATTTTTTCTTTCCTTTCTTGCCTTTTAGGCATTCATTTTTTTCCCGGTCCAGGGAAATTATGCCAGACTTAAAGTCTCTCTGGCACTATAATTTAAATTTGTAAATTTCTGTTTATCACAAGTTGCTCTGGGCAACAGATGTTTTCTACATGCATTAGACCACTCGGCGACCTCATCCCAAATTAATGGGTCCTGATTTGGGAATCTCTAATACAATCCTAATTTTTATTTTGATTTTACCAAGGAATTCCAGTAAATCGCAATTTACTGGTTTGGAAAACATAGCTGTAAATGTGGCTTTTAGTCTATAATAAACCACTAGATGGTCTCAAAGATTCATATCTCTAAAATTTCACAAAATAAACTAAGGTGGGAAACTTGCACATCCTACAATTAAAACTGAAGATTTAGAATTTCACCCCTGCGATGTTCAATGCTTATAGCTTAATCCTTTCTCATCGCTTTTGGTTTTATATTATAGACGTATATAAAATATAACCTATATATTTATTTTATTAATTTATTTGCTGAACTAATTGGAAGGATTATATCTAGTTTCTCCTACATTGGTTATTGTTGCATTAATGATTCGTAATTTTGTGGAACTAATTGCATCGTCTTGGTTGGTACTTTTATGATGTGGCAAAAAAACTAGATTGATCTATATATATATATATATAATGAAAGCAACAATATTAAGTGATTAAAGTTCACAAAGCTACCCTTATGTGGCCTTTTATGCATTCTTAGAAAAATGTTTCCAAAAAGAAACATGTCAATGGAGGGTTCTTCAGGATTTCCAGAAAAAGATACTTTTATTGAAAGAATGATGTGGAAATAACTGTTTAATCATCCACTTGTGCTTTTTATATTTTTTCACAGTTTAAAGAAGTTTATGTATAGGTCCCAATTTTTCTTAGGTGCCATGTTTAGCATAATCTTCCCAAAAACGGATGAGATACTTTATATATTGATGTTCTGAACCAAATTTAGTGATTTGTAGAATATGGGAATAAAACAAGACGGTTTAGTTCTTTGACCTGAATGATTCTGTCAACCTGAAGGTTTTTTTCTAATCATTGCATTAGAACATCTACTTTATTCACTTATTTTTTCTTCAAGTGACTTTTTCATTTCCATAATGTCAAATCAGCAATGGAGGATAATTTTAAATAATGATTTCCGATAGAAAATTTGTATGTAGAGGTGAGGATTATCATTATTTTTACCTGAGAGTTAAAATTTTGAAAGAAACCAAAGATTTTATAATATTAATCCTTTCCAAGCATAGCTTTACTGATGTTGGTTTATAGTCTTGTGACTTTTTTAAAAGTAGTTTTCTTATAAAAATGATCAGAATTTTGGCTGCAAAGTCATATTATTTTGGAGTAGGTGGAAGCCTTGGAGAATTTCTCAGTTTTATTGAAAACGAAAAAATATTTACACATAAAAATGTTTGGTATTCAAATGAAGGTGAGGTTATGTCTTTTATTTTTGTGGATACTTAATCATTTTATAACATTATCTTACTGAAACCAATTTTTCTCTTCTTTTTATCTAGGTATAAAAAGAGAAATAGTTGAACTTCGTTTCAGAAAAGACGTTTCAATTGATAATGAACTGTTATAGTTCTACAATTGGATACTTTGTAGTCAAACATTTCAAATATCAAAACTATTAAAATTAATTTTCTTTCCACTGAAAGTGTGATATGCTGTAAATGCTGAAAATACTGTGATTAATGACTACATTTTTTATTTGGAAACAAGTTTTTAAAATGTAAATATGCCTTTTATATAAATAAACTTTTATATAAAAATAAATATGCCTTAGTTTTTAAAACACTACCCTCCTTTATCCTTGTATGAATATGCAATTATTAAATGAACTGTCTACAAAATAATTACAGCACTATAATTGATTTATTTCCAAATTCAAATGGTAGAAAAATAAAATGTCTTACAAATACCTGTACACTCGTACAAAACTTTCAATTTGCTCTGGGATTCATTTGAATATGAAAAAAAAAATAATTTTGATGTGATGCAAGTGCTGTATTTTTTTTTATAATTTCAGATATATTAAATGAATAGATCATTAATTATTTGTGTTATTGTTATTTTTATGTCATTTCTGTATTTATTATTCATCGTTTTGCCCTTTCAAGCTATTTTTAAGATTCTGCAAACAATTTTTTATTTAGTTATTTTTCTTTAGAATATATATCATTATAAAACATATAATTAATTTAAAAACAGTCTGTTACATATATGGTACTTATTCTATCTTTTTATTTAATTTTATATAAAAAAATTATTATATAACATAACAACTTTTGATTATTTAGGTTTAAAATTAATGCTATAATTATCTACCTACCATGCACCGTTTCATAATTTTTTTTAAAATATATCATTATAATATAATTTGTCAGTTGATCATTCTCTTATTTCATCGAATGTCGTTTTTATTTTTAAAAGTTATATATAAATAATTAAAATACAATGTTAAATTTTAAGTAAAAAAAACAAAAATAATATAATTTTATCTTAAAATATGTACCTCCTTAGTAAAAGATCTTAAGTCTGATGTTTATCTATAACGCATTCCTTCAAGATTGGATTTATTTTATATATTAGTGGGGTTAGGGATCAGTTATTTTATTTGAAGTCATATTTCAGTATTTTATATTATAATTTTGTCTATTGCGGTAGCATAAAAAGTATTAAGATTATCTACATCCGTTTTTTGATTTACTGATTGTTTAAGGTGTTTTGTAATGAATATTGATTCTATTATTCTCCGTTTGTTAATATTTTGTTCTTTATGTAGAACTGACACTGTACCGACATTAAATTTATGTCCATTATTTGTGGTGTATTGTGAGAGTCCTGTAGCCAATTTTGATTTTGTAGTTTTAGACCTGCAATTTTATTGATGTATCCTACTTTCAAACCATTGTGAGGTTTGTCCGTATTATGCTTTATTTTCACAATCTTCGCATTGTATTTTATATATAACATTAGTTAATTTTTCTTTTGGAATAATATCTTTAGTTTTACTGTATAATTTTCCTAATTTATTAATTGTTTTATTTCCAAATTTTATGGATAAGCCTGATAAAAACGACGAAACCTGAATTTTATAAAACCTGTGGGTATATGTTCTTAATGATCTGTTTGTTAGAGCTTTATGGCATTCAACCTGCAGGTCATCAATGCCTGAAATATTCTTACTTTTGCTTTTAATTTTAATTTGATTACTTGAATATATTCCATCATAATCCTACACAAGGTTTTTGACACCATCATTTTATAAGAATTTTGCAGTTGGATGTTTTAAACAGAAAAAAAATAGCTTTTTTATTTATTTTAATAAAAGTATCCAAAGGGGCTAGGTAATATAAAAAATAAATAAATAGAAAAATAACTTTATTCTGGGATGCATTCCCTTTAAGAATAACAGAATGATACAGAAAAAAAAAGAGAATTACTTCTGGCCAGAATTATTACATTAAATAATAATAATTAATGTATTATTATGTATTATGTATTACTTTTTAATTATTTTAAGTTTGACTTCGGTTTTAAGAATTATTTTAATGTTATTCAATGTAAGTTTGTTTTAAGATTCTAATAATTCTTCTCGAAAAAATATCGGAAGTTCTCTTTCAGTGCTGGTAGAGAGAGCTAGAAGTAGAGTCACGTGATTCCTTCCATTGGAGGGGGCACTCAACTGTTGTTTTCTTGTCAGTGTTTCTTGGCAATCGTAAGTGTTAGTTCGGTTGTTGTCATTTTGTTTTTTTTTGTTACCGCCGGTTAATTACACTGAATCTAAACTGGAATTTAATGAACTTCAAAAGTGATTGCTCTTATTTTTAATTATTCTTGAGTATTTGTGCCGTTTAAAACAGTGTTGACCGTCTAGACGTGAAACCGGATGAACGGTAATACTTTATCATAGAGAACTTTCTTCAACTTTTCTCTTTATAAGGCTAAAGAAAAGGCTTAACACTGTTTTGCGTACAGAAGCAACGCCAATCTACTGCATCTGTTGACGGGGTGAGTTAATTTTACAATTTTAATGAAAATCATTCTCTTCCACATAAATACTTCAAGCTTATGTTGAGCGTTTATAATATTATCAAATCAAGAAAGATATGACCTATCATAATTTGTGGGTTTTTAAGTATTTTAAACGTATGTAAATTTATAATTTTAGCTTCGTGAAAAAGTAGTCTCAGAACAATTAATTATTAAATATTTGGTGTCAATATTCTATAAAACTTCGTGTACAGGTAAGATTAATGTATTTACGCTGGTTGTCATTTGGCTGTTCATTTATTATGAACATGGAATTTTGGAACTTTTCGTTTATATTACTAAATGTATTAAAATTAACATGTATTTCTTGTTTCTTAATTAGTCAAGAAAACCAATCTTGGTTGTTCTTTGGTTTGAATGGCGGGAAGAATATTGTTTTCCCTCTCAATGTGTTTTTCATTTCGTTTTGAAGTTGAAATCTTATCTGGAACTTAATATCGTGTGTTTATCATTGAAGGTAATAGATTAGATTATTATTGAAGTATTTATTAGACATCCAGATATTGAATCTACTAGTAATAATATTTGAAGCCTAAAGGCTGTTGCATATTAATATACTTTAATTCTTGTTATTAGGATACATACTATTTAAGTTGACGAGTTCATTAACCCAGAACTTACGACACTATATTAAGTTATTAAATGTTTTGTATAATTTAAATGTTGTATTCCAATTCATATTAGTTACATCACAGAATTGATTGAGTAAAATTTTAAATTTAAGACTACAATTTTCTCAAATATTCATTTACTACAAAAACAAACCAACTTCATAATGACCTTGGTCCTCCTTTGATCCCCTCCTCCCACTTAGCCAAGATTTGAATTTGAACTATGTCAACGACATTTCAATTAGCTGTTATCATAATAATTTTTTTTAATCAATATTGGAAAAATCTATAACAATGTTTTTTTTTTGTATTGGATCCATTCCATATTGTATTAAAAAAGCACACCCGATTCTTATTTCATGGATTCTTCATTTCTGTAAATTGATACAGATAAAAATGTCTTATGTTATTTGTTTATCTACCAGACTCCTTAGTTACGAGTTTTATTTACAAAATTGCTTTGGTTCATACTAAGTGAATTGTAAATAGACATAATGTGGTTTGAACAGTTGATAAATTTAGGTATTTAAGGTCGGCGAAAAACAGAAAAAATCATTATTGAAGAGAAAATCAAAGCTAAGTTAAAGGCCAGAATTGATTATTTTTTTGTATTTTTTTGGCGAATTTTAAAAAGTAGAATTTTTAAAACTATTTTACAGCGATTAAAATGTGCGTGGCTAATCAATTGCAAAAAGTTAAAAAATTCGCTGTGCAAACGGGTTGTGTCCAAGGGGTTGACCGAAGCGAAGGTAGGAGGATTGGGCTAAAGTGATCTGATGTTGGATTTGGTTCACTATTGTAAACTACTTTCTTTGGTTTTGGGTCGTCACTACTTTCTTTTTGTTATTTAACGGATATGAAATATAAAATTTAAAACAGTAACAATATCTGGATCAAAATTTTATAGAACTTCAAGAAAAAAATAGATGTATTTATTTATTAAAGTGATATTTCAATTGTACCAACTCTTTAGGATTCAAACATTTCACTTGTTTTGAATTTTAACACCACCTACTTTTTGATTCTTATTTAATTTTTTTTTTTGTTCTTTTGCTTCTGTTTATTTTATGTTATCTATTTGTATGGTGTGAAAAAAAAAAAACGTTACAAAATTAATATTCTACTAATATTAGTTAATTTATTAATGTAACATAATTTTCTAAGTTCATTCTAAATCAGCCATGTTACTGCTACTGGTTGTTATGATATTCGGATAATGGTAAATTGAAAAATATAAAAAAAATGAATTTTTGCAAGTTCCCGCAACGCTAAAGCGATTATGCTATCGTGAAATATAAATCGATTTTATTTGGTCCCCCTTTTTTTTATTTCTCCAATTCGCACATTTTTTATAACATTTCGAGTAAAAAAAAAAAGAAAAAAGTTTCGTCCCGCCCTGATGTTAGGTTATTATAAATAATATTTTTCTGTTTTTCTCTCATGGTTAAAATTCGACATCGATAGTACTTGAAATTAGATTAAAGATAATTGTTTCAAATTAAGTAGTTATTATTCATAAACCTGTTTTAGAATTGTTTATTTCAGAAAATTCTCATAATTTCTGTTTTATTCCATATTATTTTAACATATTCGTTTATTTGTACCTTTTATTGTTTATTTGGTTGAAATACTTTCGAGATACCAAGGAGAGCATCATCAATAAATTATTTGTCAAAATTATGCTCGATAGTATGAGCAGATAGTAGTTCTACTAAGTTAAACTAGTTCAGATAGTATGAAAGAATTCTTTAATAGAAGAGAAAAAAATAAAATAAAATAAAAATGATCAAGTAGATATACATCTGAAAATTCCATCCCCTACTTTCAGAAAATACTTCCGCTTTCGAATCAGATACGTATTTTTTTTAACCCACCTATATTTAGAAAACGGCTTGTTCGATTTGACCGAAAGTTGATTTAAATGCGTGTGATTAGAAATTCTCTAGTATCAATTTCATTGAATTATATTCATCAATTAAAATTAGTAAAAATAACTTTGGAAAATATAACGGCTGTAAAATTTGGAAGACATTGATCATATGAAAGGGAGGTTATGTTCAAATTATTGTTTTATGAGTTATAGCATTTTAGAATGTATTAAAAAAAATTAATTTAAACTGAATGTTTTGTCGTTTACATATTACTAGCATGAAACCTACTGCCGTTACCAAAAATTTCATGTAATTTTAAAGATTGCGAGGGTTGTAACATAGATGGCCCTCTCTAAATGGATTTTGCCAAATCTCTGCACCAGATTAAACTTAGGCATGCGATTTTTCTTTACTATATGCACCGTATATTTGTAAATTTAAATTAAATTTTACACAGACTGTAAAAAATAAAGTCATATTTGTGAGTTTGTTTGGTCCTTATGAAGTATAATCAACTGGTTCTGGTCTCGATTTCTCTCGAGTTCAACTTCAAAGTGGCTTTATTCTAAATATTTTTGAATTAATTATAATTATATAGAAAGTAAGCATCGATAAGTTTTAAATACGTATAGGCCTTCATTTCTTGTATTTTGTTAACTTCATTCGTATTATTTTATTTCTTCTGGAATTACTTTTCTTCTAATTGATGGAATATCTCAGTGAATTTGGTGAGGAAGCTATACAGACCCATCTTAGCTGACGTTTTATTTTGATTTTAGTTCAAAACAAATGACTTCTTAAACATTATCATTCCTAGATAACAAAAAATTCATATTACCTTTGCAGAGCATGTATACAAACTAATGATAAGCAGTAAATTATTTAGAGGTTTGCATGTCTTCCATCGTTTTTCTCTTTGCTGTCCCTCCTAATTGAGAGGCTAAGATCGGATTTGCATATGCATCTAGACAGACTCCATTTGTTATGTCACTGAACATAACATTAAGTGTTTCTTTATTAGTATTATTTTGATTTTATTGTTTATTTACATGATTTATTATAAGGTTATTAATTGTTTTCCTTAAAATTTAAACCACGCTAGTCTAGTTCATGAATTTATATTTTGTTGTGAAACCTAACGGAACAGACTATTTGTTGGTATTTATTATAATCATTCTGCCTAACTATTTCTTCTTTTAGTTTTATTTTGTTTAATATGTTTTGGAATGATGAGTGTGCTGTGTGATTTAGCAATTCAAAACAGTTGAGCAGCCGTGCAACTTAATGGTAGTGGCTGGACTTAGACCAGGGTTCTCTTAACTATGGCTCTTAGGGCCTTGCTCTAAGTTTTGATAATTTTAAATAAAAGTAATGGTTTAATTTTGTCGAATTGTACAAGCGTAATCCTAGGTATTAGATTTGTTCAACAGGGATAAGTCATAGGGTTACGACGAAGGGTAAAGCTTCAAAACTTGTGATGTGTGATTGAAGAGCATGGAATGCAATTTGATGAATCGTTATTAACTGATAAGACACAATTGTCATCAACACACACACAGTGGGGCGAAAGACGGATTTATGTGGACATAGGCCTAGAGGTTGTATTTACATCATTTGATGTCAGCTTAAATTGATATTTAGTTCCCTTTTGTTTTCAAGGAACACGAATATGGCGTTAAAATTAGAAAAGTTCCCCGAAAAACAGAAAATTCCGGTTCCTTTATTTAAACCTGAGCATTTTTAAATTTGACAATAAATTAACTTGGAAAATGACAGACCTCTTTAAACGCATAATTTTAAATACCTATTTATAACTACTGCCTATGTTTTTTTTACATTGTTTTATATGTTTGTTTTTACGTGTAATCGTTATTTTATTTTAGTTGTTTTTTTTATAACACAAAATATTATAATTATATGTAATAACTACAAAAAAATGTTGTTTAAAAATATATCGTTTATCAATTATAAGTATTCATTTTACAATAGTTCTTATGAAGTAATAAACATTTTATTTTATTTTTATTACAATCAAATTTTAAACACCATCGATACTTCTTACACTTTCACTAATGAACAAAATATGTATTTTTCCCATTAATTTTGTAGATTATAATAAATGATCCAAATCAATTCATGAAAGTTCAAACAAATACTTCCAGATTTAATTTACCCTTGTGAAATTATAATGTCATTAAAAAATAATAATTTTAGGGATTGAAAACAATATATTTTATTAAATAACTTTAGTTTATTGAACGGTGTTGTGCATGTTTATTTATTTAGATTAGAGCTAAATAGAAGATGGTTATATGTAGTTATTAGAGACTTTATTTATTTTGAAATGTTTGTTGACATTTGCTAACTTAAAATTGAAACAAAAAAGTGTTTGTTTCTTATATAGATAAACAAAATTAAAATTTTGCAACAATGAAAACGATTATTTAATATTTATTGTTTTGGTTTGAGTTATTTT